AAAACGTGGCGCCGCTTCCAGCTTTATGTACCGAAAGGCCACTACGCGGAGATGGACGCGCCGACAAGACGACGACTCAAGCATGCGTATCCGCTTATCGAGTAAAAGGCGCTTGATCATAATGATGCGACTGCTCTATTCCTGCGGATCGAGAGAAAAGGTGTACATGGTTGCGATACATTTATACCAGATAATTTTACAACACTGTTCAACATATAAATCTTCGATTGTTTACATATTTGCATTGTATACCAGTTAGTTATACTTCGTCCCAGCCACAACCTGACTAAGGTCCCTTGCCACACCCACCGCCACGACCAAACGGGCGTCGAAGAAGCGCGCGGTGGTCACCAAAGTTGGCTCGCACCCCTAAGGAGGGTAGGAGGGTAGGAGAGATGGGGCGTCTTGTTGGCATTGAAGGCATCGTGTCCAGCGGCAACACGAAGTACCGCAATCTCGGGCAGCTATACATTGGCAGTGGACGTGCAACAGGAGCAAATATGTCTTCGTATAGTATTGGGTAAGGACGTCTAGATGAACTAGGACACGTTACGAGAGGAAGAGCACCGTGTGTTCGTAGACGAAAAAGGTGACGGCGTTGACGGGGAACGCGCGGAGGAGCGTGGTGCCGAGGCCTTTGGTGAACGGCGCGTAGCCTTGCTCTTGGAGAAGCCGCCGGACTTGGTAGCGCATACTCTTCTCCAGCGACGAGGCGTGGCCAGGCAGCGTCTGGATGCAGCTTTTCACCACGTCGATGGGGTACACCAGACCCCACGAAACGACGCCGGCCGCGCCGCCGGCCACGAGCATCGACGCCGTGTCGTCGACGCGCTTCTCGATGAGTGAGCGTTTAAGCGCTTCGTAGACGTAAAAGTAGACACCAAACGAATACGAGTCGCGAAGAACCGTGGGCCAAAACCCGAGAAAGAGCCCGCGGACACCAAAACGACCGTAAATGTGCTGGACGCACTCGATCGGACCGCGAAAACTCGGGGTTTTCGTAAACCCGTCCTGCGCTTGGAGCTGGCATTTGATCAAATCGGTCGGACACAGTGCGATCGACTGAAGCAGCCCTGCGATACTACCGGCGGTAAACACGGACGAGAGGCGGGGCTCGGGCGACGCGACTCCCGCTTCGAGCTGGCGAAGCGCGCTACCGTAGGCACCAAACACGATTGCACTGGTCCAGAGACTGCCAAAGAGCGGAGACGTCAAGCCTTTGAAGAAGCCGCGGACACCCTCGTGCTGCCACTACCAACATGTTCACGATACGAGCATCCATCCCGAAAATAGGGGTTGGCTACCGTGTGGCGCGCACAGGCGACCGGGCCCGAGTAAAAGGCGCCGTGGGTCTGCAAACGGACCTTGATCGTATCGAAGGGCTGGCCCACGATGATGCCACTGCCGCCGCCGACGCAGCCCGCGGCAAAGTCGATGGCCGCGCTCTTGAACGCGCTGGTGTCCGTCATGCGTGCAAGTGCAAACTCGACCGCGATTGGCCTGGCATCTGGATACAAATCGGTGATTGGCTAATTTAGACAAGCATCTGGGATTGGTCAACAAGGTGGCTGTTCTTGTGGCCACAATCAAGAGACCACAAACGACCAGCACGCCGCCGCTGCTTCAGGCATGCACCAGCGAGCGCCCCCTGTCAACTATTACCCGAGGGATCCCTTGGCACGAGTATAGACGACGAGAATGCTACAACTACAAATTGGGACTGTTCACATGTCGCTTTCTGGCCGAGCGAACCCAGAGACGAGGAGAGGATGGCGCCAGTTCAAATCCCCCGACCTGCTCATCAGAGTCCTAAATTCCTGGCGATGCCAACGAACCCGTGCTAAGATCTTAGCGCCATGTGCGAAGAGCCGTCGTTGCGACTACCGTTGCTCCTGCAAGTACTTCCAGCAGTTGAGCACCGCTGGTGTCGTTGTCTTGATTACGCCACGACCGCTGTCGATCCACGAACTGATCGGTCGCCACGTGTTTAAACGCTGTCGTGTTCGCGTCGATGGATGTTTCACGTCGTTTCACGTGGGGTCGTACGGTTTTTGACCCATTTAGCGCATCACGTCCAAGGCGCAGTCGGATCGAGCATACAAATCTAGAGAGTCGTTTCTCGAGCTCGCGAGCAGGCGCCGAATTCGGTTGGCGGTGAACTTCACTTGGCAATTTCATGGCAATGGCACGCAAGACGGACGAGACGCTGCCGCTCCTCGCCAAGGCCGACGGGCTCGGCGACCGCAGCCCCGACGAGATGGGCGGCTGCGCCTCCGGCCTCTTCTTCTCGTGGCTCACGCCGCTCCTCGACCTCGGGAACCGCCGGCCGCTCGAGTTTGCCGACTTGTACCAGCTGAACCGCAACGACCGCGCTGCTCATATCTCCAAGAGCTTCCAAGCGCAGTGGAGCCGCGAGCTGCGTCTTCCGACGCCGCGCCTCTGGCGGGCCATGGCGCGCGCCTTTGGCTGGCCCTTTGCGTACGCGGGTTTTCTCAAGCTCATCCACGACTCGCTTCAGTTTGTCGGGCCCATGGTCATCAAGCTCATCATCGAGTTCCTCTCGCAGCCGGACGCCGACCTCCGCGTCGGCTTGATCTACGCGGGCGCGATCTTTGTCTCTGGCGTCATCCAGTCGTTTGCGTTGCGCCAATACTTTTTCTACTGCTTTGAGACCGGTCTCCGCCTTCGGTCGGCGGTCGTCACGGCCGTGTACCACAAGTCGCTCGTGCTCTCGGCGGCGGCCAAGAGCGCGCGGTCGACGGGCGAGATCACAAACCTCATGAGCATCGACGCGCAGCGCCTCCAGGAAATCACCAACTACTCGCATGCGATCTGGTACGCCTTCTTCCAGATCGTCGTGTCGTCGTACTTGCTGTACCTCCAACTCGGCGTCGCGTTTGTCTCGGGCGTCATTGTCATTTTACTCCTGATTCCAGCGACCGCATGCATCTCCAAGATGATGCAAGCGCTCCAGGAGAAGCTCATGGCGGTCAAGGACGAGCGCGTCAAGGTCACGTACGAGGTCCTCTCGGGCATCAAGGTCATCAAGCTCCAAGCATGGGAAAACAGCTTTACAACCCGCGTCATGGAGTTCCGCACGAACGAGCTCGCGCGCCTTCGGACGTACTACATTGCCGACGCGTTCTCGGACGTTGTCTACAATGGTGTGCCGTCGCTCGTGACGATCGTCTCGTTCGCGACGTACATCTACCTCGGCAACACACTGGACGTGGGCACGGCGCTCACGTCCCTCGCTCTCTTCAACATCCTCCGCTTCCCGCTCTTTATGCTCCCGAACGTCATCAACTCGCTCGTCGAAGCCCAAGTGTCGTTCAAGCGCCTCACCGCGTTCTTCCTCTTGGAGGAGCGAACGCCCGTGACGACCGGCGACCTCACCGACGTTGGCATTGCGCTCCACAACGCGACCTTTACATACGAAGAAGGCGCCGAGGCGACGCCCGCGCTCACCAACGTCTCGCTTTCGTTTGGTTCGAATCAGCTGGTGGCGGTCGTCGGCGCGGTGGGCTCGGGCAAATCGACGCTTCTCGCGGGTCTTCTGGGTGACGCGACGTGTGCCCACGGCCGCGTGCACCTCAAGGGCTCGATTGCGTATGTGAGCCAGCAGCCGTTCATCCAGAACGCCACCGTGCGCGACAACATCACGTTTGGCCTTCCGTTCGAACACGCCAAGTACCAAAAGGCGATTGCTGTGAGTTGCCTCGGTGATGACCTCAAGATCCTTCCCGGTGGCGACATGACGGAGATTGGCGAGAAGGGCATCAACCTCAGCGGCGGCCAGCGCACGCGCGTCGCGATTGCGCGTGCCGTGTACCAAGACGCCGACATTTACCTCTTGGACGACCCGTTGGCGGCCGTCGACAGCCACGTGGGCTCGGACATCTTCAAGCAGTGCTTCCAGACCGCGCTCAAGGGCAAGTTGGTGGTGCTCGTGACGAATGGTCTTCAGTTTCTCAAGGACTGTGACGCGGTCGTCGTCATTGCGAGCGGCAAGGTCGCCGAGTTTGGCACGTTTGCCGACGTCTCGGCCATTCCAGGCGGCGTGCTCACCACGCTTCTCGAGAGCGTCCAGGAAGCGCCGGCCGAAGAGACGTACGCGGTGCCTGAGACGGCGGCGACGGACGACGAAGACGTGGCCAATGACGACGACGGCGTCCCGCGGCGTCGTGGGTCGTCAATGCGCAGCGACACGGACGGCGACAACAAGGATCAAAATGGGGCGCTCATTCTCGACGAAGACCGTGCGACGGGCGACGTGCCGTGGTCGACGTACAAGGTGTGGATCCATGCGTGCGGTGGCTTTGGCGTTGCATCGGCGGTTGTCTTCTTCTTCGTCCTCTCGCAGCTCGTCAACCTCGCGTCGACGTTTTGGCTCTCGTACTGGTCCGGGCAGGCCGGGTCGTCCCAGTCGGACCAAATGTACTACTTTTGGATCTTCACGGCGCTCAACGTGGGCTATACGGCGACGGTGTTTGTGCGCATTTTGACGCTGTACCTAGCGGGTCTCCGTGGTTCCAAGGTTCTCTTCCAGCAGCTGCTCACCCAAGTGCTGCGGGCGCCCACGTCCTTCTTTGATACGACACCGCTCGGCCGCATCGTCAACCGTCTCTCGAAAGACGTCTATGCGATCGACGAGTCGATTCCGTCGACGTGGGGCATGCTCTTTGGCACGATTTTCTCGGTGCTCACGACAATTGCGACCGTCGTGTACGTCACGCCGTACTTTACGCTGGTCCTCTTCCCGCTGGGCGCGCTCTACTACGTGTCGCAGCGCTACTTTGTCAAGACGTCTCGGGAGCTCCAGCGCCTCGACTCGATCTCGCGGTCGCCGGTCTACGCGCTCTTTACCGAGACGCTCGAAGGCATTGCGACCATCCGGGCGTTTGGCGCCGAGACGCAGTTTGCGGCGCGGAACGAAGACCTCCTCGACCGCAACCAGCGCGCGTACTTTCTGAACTTTTCGGCCAACTGCTGGCTCGCGCTCCGGCTCGAGTTTGCCGGCACCGTCGTTGCAACGTCGGCGGCCTTGTTAGCTGTGTGCGGGCACCAAGCCGACAACAGCGTGGCCTTTGCGGGCCTCGCCGGCGTCTCGCTCTCGTACGCCTTCTCGGTCACGCAGTCGCTCAACTGGTCCGTGCGCATGATCAGCTCGATCCAGACGCAAATGGTGTCGGTCGAGCGCATCCACAACTACTGCGTCCTGGACACCGAGGCCGACTTGTATGCGCCGACGACCGTCCAGGCCAAGCTCCAAGCGGCGGCGTGGCCGCAAGACGGCCAAGTGACATTTCAAGACGTTGATTTGCGCTACCGCCCGGGTCTGCCGCGCGTGCTCCGGAAGCTCAGCTTCCGCATTGGTCGCAACGAAAAGATTGGCATTGTCGGGCGCACGGGCGCGGGCAAGAGCAGTCTCGTCGTCGCGTTCATGCGCATCGTCGAGCCGTGCGGCGGTCGCATCCTCATCGACGGCGTCGACATTGCCACAATCGGTCTCCATGACCTCCGCGAGAAGATTGCAATCATTCCCCAAGACCCGGTGCTCTTCTCGGGCTCGATTCGGTCCAACTTGGACCCGTTCTCGCGCTACGACGACGCGGCGCTCTGGGTGGCGGTCAAGCGTGCGCACCTCGAGTCGGCGGTCACATCGCTCGACGACAAGGTCGACGAACGCGGCATGAACTTTAGCGTTGGCGAACGGCAGCTGATTTGCATTGCGCGGGCGCTGCTCAAGAAGTCGAAAGTGATTCTCATGGACGAAGCGACGGCGTCGATCGACGCCAACACGGACCGGCTCATCCAGCAGAGCATCCGCGACGAGTTTGTCGACTGCACGACGCTGACGATCGCCCACCGCATCAACACGATCTTGGACTGCGACCGCATTCTGGTCATGGACAAGGGCGGCGCGGCCGAGTTTGACGCGCCGAACGAGCTGCTCAAGAACCCAAAGGGCCTCTTCACCAACCTTGTCGACCACTGGCGCGACGGCGACGAGTCCTAGGCGAAGATTCGCCAAGTACATATTGTGCATTCTCTAAAACAGTGTAATGTCAACTCCACGATGACCTCGTCGTATTTGTGTGAAACACCCCACAACCACCAAAGGGCAGTTCAATATCTAGTTGGTACAGGCTTGCAAACACCCATCAGGACGGGTCCTTCCCACCAAGTGTACCTCCAAAGTCGGACAGCTCGTACAAATAACTTGCTGTCAAAGGTGTCGGAGTCTGTCACCTGACATAGCTAAGCATTGAGTCAAAGCAGCCACATGTCTTTGTTTCTCGTAGCGACCCGTGCATTGTTGCGCTTGAACAGTGAGCCGTGAACCACCAGCACGTAAAAGCAAGGATGGGATTTTATAAATTGAGTGGGTTCTAATTTGTAGTCGGATCTAGTTACTCGTCGTCGCTGTCGCCAAAGGTGATCTTGGTGGCCTTCTTGTTCATGTCGACGTTCTTGGCAAACGCGCCGTAGAGCTTGTGCTCCTTCTTCTTGACGTGCGTGCCAAACTTGGTGAGCTCTTCCGGCACGGGCGCGTTCGACTCGCGGAGGAGGTTGACGAGTTCGCCGGCCTTGGGCTTGTCATGGTTGGTGAAGAACGTATGCGAAATGCCCTTCTTGCCGCCGCGGCCCGTACGGCCAATGCGGTGCACGTAGTCTTCGATCGTGAGCGGGAACGAGTAGTTGAGGACAAACTCGACGTCCGGAATGTCGAGGCCGCGGGCCGCCACGTCCGTCGCGATGAGCAGCGGGATGGTGCCGCTCTTGAACGCCTCGAGGGCCTCCATGCGCTGGGCCTGGCCCTTGTCGCCGTGGATCGCTGTGCACTTCCAGCCCTTGCGCTGGAGCATCGTCTCGACACGGACAGCCTCCTTCTTATACAGGACAAACACCAAGACACGGTTCTTGCGCGACCCGTGGTACTTCTTCAAGAGGCCGTCAAGCTTGGCGTCGCGGCCAAACTCGTCAACGACCTCGACGATCTGCGTCACGTTCTCGGACGCCGCAAGGTCGTCCGAACCGATCGTGACCTTGACCGGGTCCTCGAGGAACTCGTGCGCGAGCTTCTGGATCGACTGCGGCCACGTGGCGCTGAACATGGCGATCTGGCGCTCGGCGTGGCACTCAGCCATGATGAGGCGGATATCCTTCTCGAACCCGTCGTCCAACATGCGGTCGGCTTCGTCGAGGACAATGTACGAGACGTTGGCGAGCGAGCACGACTTCTCCTGGACGAGATCCTTGAGGCGACCGGGCGTCGCAACGACGACCTGGACGCCAGCCTTGAGCGCGCGCTTCTGCTCGTGTTTGGGCACACCGCCGTAGAGGCAGAGCGAGTTGATGTTGACCGACTTGCCCGCGACCGCGATGACGTCGGCGCACTGCACGGCAAGTTCGCGCGTCGGCGCGACCACAAGCATGATCGGGCCCTTCTTCTTCGGGTTCGTCTTGAGCTGGTCGGTGATGTGGACAAGGCCCGGCACCGAGAAGGCGAGCGTCTTGCCCGAACCCGTCTGGGCGATACCAATGATGTCACGGCCAGACGTCAAAATCGGCCAGCACTGCGACTGGATCGGCGTCGGCTTGGCAAAGTTCTCGCACGACTTGAGCATCGCCTTGGGGAACGGCGCGTCCGCGAACGAGAGGATCGGGCGGTACAAGCAGTGGTTGCCGCTCATCGTCATGTGGTTCTCCTGGTGGAACGCGTCGACGGCCTCGTTCGAGAGCGCGGCCGTGTTGGGGCTCTCGACGTAGAACGACTTCTTGAACGACTTGTCCGACGGCGGCGGCTGCTGGTACGGGCCGTTGGCAAAGTCGGCCTTGGCCTTCTTGGCCGGCGCCTCGGCCTCGTCGTCCGAAGCGACCTTGCGCTTCTTCTCCTTCTTGGCCTTCTTCTCTTTCTTCTCCTTCTTGGGCGCGACCTCTTCGGCCTCGTCGACCTCGACGGCGGCCTCCTTCTTCTGGCGCTTCGCCTCCTTGCGGAGCTTCTTGGCCAGCTTCTTGTCGTCGGTCATCTTGATGTTTTGATAAGTGGGTCCGAGACGAAATTCGGCGCCTTTTTGACCAATCAAAAGCGACCCGGAGATTCCCCGGAGATGGCACCACTCAATTTGAATGGTTGGCTGGACCCATCCGTATAATATGCATTATCCGGAAATGTCCATGACGTGGCGGTCTGTGCGAGCACGAAAACAACCGTCGACATGACGCAGACCGGATACGTCCCACCGCGCGTCCGATCATCAAACTGCCGAGACAGGAGGGTTGACCACAGGTGTGCACAGCCCGTCATGGGCTTTGGTGCGCGAGACCAATGGGTTTTGTCGATAATAGCAGTAGATAGATAGACCAACAGGACCCAAGATAGTTGGATAGTGGACCTGTACGATAGCTGGATAGGGCCATATTCATTTGAGGCATCCGTTCATGGGCTGTTATTGTCGTCGTTGGGTAATGTGGTGAGCACACAAGGAAGTAAGACCTGTTCTTATGTGCCTTTTCTGGATGGCGTTATTCCACAAGAGGGTACGCATGCTGCAGCCGGCGGCGCGTGCTCGTGTCCATCTCGTTGTAGTGAGCCGTTGGTACGCGGAGGTGGAAGCGGCGCCATGTCTTAATGTCGAGGACGTGAAAGGTGTCACCGATCGAGAGAATGAGCATGCCGTTCATCGCCGCGGACGCCTTGTCCAAGTAGTAGACGCCCTGGAACTGCCACTTTTTCAGCTGGAAGAGGTACTTTGCCTCGCAGCTCAAGTGGTGCGACGTGGGCGAGTCGTTCAATAATTTGGGAAATCGCCAGCGCTCGATCCAGTAGCACATCACGAGGCAGCTCACGCAAAGCAGCGTCAGCGCGATGAACCGCGTGCCATTGCCAATGCGAACGACGCCACTGCGACAAACCAGCTGGAGGTTGAGGTCCAACACTGTGCACGCCCGCGTCACGGTGGCCGAGTGCGTCACGGGCGACACAAAGCTCCAAATGGCCGAGATCAACCACGTGAGGTATGACGCTTTAACCATGTAGAGGCGCGCATACTGCTGCGTGTAGACCATAAGAACGTCGTTGAGAACGTAGATGAACCACGTAACTTCGCCGGCGCTGAGAATCGTGAGCACAGCGCTCGAGACGGTCGTTCGAAACAGCGTGACGATGCCAGTTTGAACGAGGTCGATGCGCGCGGTACTGAGGACAGTCATGGCCGTGAGGCTGCGCAGAAGGAGCAGCGGACGACCCACCCAAACAATACCAGCAACACGATTGAGGCCAAAGAGGTGACTGCCCGAGATCTGGCCACGACTCCCAAGCATGTGAAGTACAACGAGCACACTCACAGCGACGAGCACCGATGTGACGTACAATACACCGTTGCGCAAGAAGAGGGCGAGATTCTTTGGGATCTCGAGAGCGTTTGGTGCAAGGCTCGTGGTGGTCGTCGTTGTCGAGAGAACGCTGAGTGCACCCTCGTCACCGACAAATGTGACGACTTCCCGATACCCTGTTGCCCAGTCCCAGAGAAAGAACCAGCCAAAAAGCATAAATTCCATGTCGCTTGGATCGAGGAGATTGATCGAGAAGAGCTGCAGTGTTGAGCTGTTGAGAGCGTACTGTACGATCGCGATATGCGCTTCTTGAACGGCGACGGCGGCGGCGTTGACGGCAGCTTGAAGCTCAAGAAATTGGTCGGCCGAAAAGCTAACCTTTACAAACGCCTCGGCGGCTAGGACCATTTCAGAACACGTCGACGGACTGAGTACGTCAAAGGCACAACTTTCCGAGACATTGAGCGAGGGCGCTGAGAGCTGCGTGACGGCAGCTGCAAACACGACTTCCATCTTCGTCGGCGCAATGTACTCACCAAAGTTCGAGCCGCACACTGCCGCCGCGCCATAAAACCCCCGCAAGCCCGAGCTCTGAATGTCGCGGGTGGGGGGCACGCCCCCCGTATCACAAAGCGGATTGCCTCCCAAGATGAAGATGGACGGAGTAAACCACGTCGAGGGCACTGGTGACAGCGATGGTACGACCAGTGCTTTGTAGGCCGCGGCTGCCGCAGCGTTTGTTGCGAGGTTCGTGCTCACGAGCCGGCTGAACAACTGCTGCAATCGCAGCAGCGCTGGCGGAACAGGAACGTGCAGCATGTCAATCGACCCAAAGGGTCCAATGCGTGCACGCACCAACCCAAAGCCGAGACCGAACGGGGGTGACAGCGTCCCGTTCTGGCTCATCACGTCTTCGAGGCTTGACCCATTCGCAAAGGCAAAGCGCGGGCTATCGCGCAACAGGCTACGCTCGTGCAAGAGCGAAGAGTTGTCGCGAACTGCGTTGAGGTCGGCGCCAAACGACCAGTACATCTTGAGCGAAGTCTGGTCGCGCCACGCCCACGTGCCAACGGTGTGCTTGAGCGTCATGGCGTAGCGAAAGCCAAACGCAGTCTCGACGTCGAACGAATCAAAGAGGCCGAGCCGCTTGTAGTTTTGCCACTGCAGCGTGAATGAGGAAACCGCGTGTTTGGTCCAGAGTCGCACTTCGTCCGCAACACTCGTGCCAGGATCGCAACTACTGGAGCGCCAGGCCATGCCGGCCGCACTAGTGTTCAAGTCGGTACCAAACGCAATCTCAAAGGCGTCCCCCCACGTGTGCTGGAAGCTCGCCCAGTCGGTATTGCGAACAAACGCCTCAAGGTACACCGCCCCGTTCGTACGGTAGGCTGCGCACCGCGACTGCCGAGTCGCCGAGTTGGCCATGGCCCAGCGCCGCTCAAAGTCGAGGTAGCAAAACGAGGTAAACACATACGGCAGCGTGCTCGGGGGCGTCATCCGGAGACCGGCGATCGCAGCACCGAGGTCATTCGCGAGGGTCTCCATGTAGATGACGTTGTTGTACAGTGACTGGGACATGACCAAGGTCGTCGAGCCATTGTAGAGCAATGCATCAGCGAACCCGACGTCGTCGAGGCGCCACGTCATGGGCAAAGCAGCATAAAACAGCTGCGTGTTGAACCAATTGCCAAGAAAGGCGTCGATGCCGGTGCTGCTGAAGCCGGGCCAGAAAAAGTCGTTGGCGAGGTTCTGGCCCGAGACCGAGATAAAAACGACGCTGCTAGCGATCGTCAGTAGAAGGTAGCCACAGCCAAGCACGACCATCAACGTATTCCATGGGACACGGTTCACGCAGTAGCCGCGCCACGTCGAGGTGTCGAGTGGCTGCGCCTCGTCGACGGGCGAAGATGGTAGAAGCGACGACGACCAGCGTGGCGCCGGCAGCCGTGCGGGGAGAGCGAGGGACGGCGAGTGCAAGTTCAGCGTCGACTTGGCGAGCTTCTTTTTCCAGACGACCCAGAGTTTAATGTCAAAGACGTAGTGGGCGCCGCGAAACGTGAAGGGTACGAGGCCGCACAATGCGCAAATGGCGTGGTCCATGCACCAATTTGTCGTGTAGTCGATCGAGAAGACGCGCAAACTCAGGAACGCTTCGCCTGCGGCGGGGATGACGGTCGGTGACGCTTCCGCGGCACTTGGCGATCGCTTTCGCAGTGTTGCGAGCAGCAGCGCCAGTAGCAGAGCCCCAAAGATGAGTGCAATAACATGCTGTGTGCGCACCCAGCTGCCAATGTCGAGTCGACCGCTCACGCAGAGCAGCTGGGCATCCAAGTTGACGCTAGCGCAGGTCCGAGCCAATGACGCCGTGGGCCACACCGGATTCAACATCGAATAGAGAAGGATACCAACCCACGTCAAGGCTGCGCTCAACGGTGCGTACTGAGGTGCGTTCTCGGGGAAGACAACAAGGAGAATGTCAACAAGGACGTACGAGAGCCAAGCGACTTCGCCCGTCAAAACCGCCGTCTCAAGAAAGGACCGCGTCTCAAAGGCGAGGCCGGTCCAGCCGTGGCGCGGTGTTAGCGTCATGGGCGCTGTGCTTAGAAGGATGATGGCTGTGACACCTCGCACGAGAAAGACGGGGCGGCCGACCCAAACAAAGGCGGCGACGCGGTTGAAGAAGAAGAGGTTGCGACCCGCAATGCGAAACTCGATCCAAAAACAGCGCAGGAGCACAAATGCCGCGACAAAGCCCAGGACAGCGGTCGAGTAAATAGCAATGTACAAGAGATAGTTGCACGTGCTCCGGGGCACTTCCAGCGCCATGGCGTCAAAGCCAATCGGGGGTACGGCTGTCGAGATGAGCGTCATTGAACCAACGTCACCTTCGAACTTGACCACTTCCCGCGTCCCGATCGCCCAGTCGTAGAGGTGCACCCAGCCAAAGACACCCCATTCCATCAACATCTGATGCAGCAAGATTGGGTCCGAGCCATTGACCATCGCAAACTGCATGACCTCGACTTGAAGGGTTGCCACTTCGCGCGACACGACAGCGGCGGCCGAGACGAGGTCGGACGTGCCTTCCAACGACGCTAGCAGTGCCGCGGCCGCCGCAATGTCGCTGAAGCATTCGTCGTCGTTGGTCGACCCACCGCAGAGCTCACGCGGCAGAGGCGCCGACGATTGGGCGCTCGAAGCACCCAGAGCCGCAAACACAAAGCTGAGAATCGTATAGCGCAGCGTCATGGGTGTCGCGTCACCACACGTGTCGTAAAAGCCAAAGCTGGGTTGCACAAAATGCTTGGCGGCACCACTCGTACAAAAAGGACTGCCGCCCACGTACGTTAGCCCTGGTGTTGTCCAGGACGGCGGTGCGATATTCGTCAGTATGCGTTCGCTGTGCACCCACGGAGCGAGTCGCTGAAAGGCGGCGTTGGCCATACTCGCGTGCCCAAAGACAGCATTGTACGTTGCGAGCAGCGACGCGAGTTCGCGCGGCAGTGGCACGTACCGCATGTCGATCGAGAGGAGTGGACCAACATGCGTATGCAAGAGCGCGATGGGCAGCGCCGCCGGGTTGAAGCCCTGGACCGCTTCAAAGTTGACTTGGCTCCCGTTCACACGCACCAGTGAGACGCCCTGGACGCCGGCCGCCCAGAGATCGTTGAAGAACGCCCAGTAGCAGTTGAGGCTCGTCCACGTAAAGTCGCGCGCGACCCGAGGCAGATTCTTGATGCTCATGCTCTGCTCCATGCCGAGGGCATTCGCGATCACAACGGTCTCCGTGATACCGCCTTGCCAGAGGTTGTGCCAATGCAGTGCAAACCGGCGTAGATTATACGTCGCCCAGTACGTGACTTCGTCGTCGACCGACGAGGCGGCGCTCGCCGTAGCCGTCACCCACGCCGGGCCATCGGCATCATGTAATACTGCGTCGAGAATCGCCGTTTGAAAGCCCGAGCCCGCCGTGCTCACCCAGTCGTTCCAGTCGACATTACGAAGTAGCGCCTCGAGGTACACGGCCGCGTTGTCGCCATCCAACGCAGCACACCGGGCTTGGCGCCACAGCGTGTGGGCAAGCTCCCAGCGACGATCCAAATCGACCCAGCAGTTTTGCGTCGGCAGCCAGAGCGCATAGTCCATCGTGACGGCGCGGAGCCCACGGACAGCGTCGGGTAGCGTCATGGTATCAAGAACGCTCCGAATATACGAGGGGTTGACGCCGACCTGGTTGACGCTGCTGCTGTAGTCGCTGTTGAAGAAGAGGCCGGGGCTGCGTAAATCGAGCGCGGTCGAGACGTTCGTCGCAGAGGTGAGCGCCCGATTGAAGGCGTCGGCGACAAACGACTGCGTGCCTGTTGTGTTGAAGCCCGCCCAGAAGAGGTCGTTGGTCATGCTCGGGCCCAAAAGGTCCACAAAGTAGATGCTCAAGACCGAGGTGCCGACGAGGTACAAGGCGCCTGCGACCGACCACGCGCGGCTCGTCATCGATCCCGTGTCGTGGAGCACCATCATGGTCGTGGCGCGGCGCGGCGGCAGGATCATGGAGGCGGACGCGAGCGGGTCGACCGGATGGACCGCGGTCATGGTCGTCCTTTTTTGGTCAATTTTGAAACGCGCCTGTCTAGTTGGACCGTTGCAACAAAACCCAAAACTCCAGTACAAGTAGGATAGATTAGAGTAGGATTGTAACGACTAAGTAAAGAGGAGGCGAGCTTCGGCTATGCGAATTGCGCCGAGACGATACCGACGACCTCGGTGATGGACGGTCGGGCCGACGCCTCTGTCGCAAGACACCGTGTGAGGACGCTTGCAACGTCGGCCGGCCACGTCGTTGGCGTCGCGAACGGGGCCAAGCCGCCCGTCGCCTTGGCCTCTGCAATGCGCAGGTCACCGCGCACGTAGCCATGCTCGGCGTAGATCTGTGCATATGGCTGCGACCGGCTAAAGATCTGAAGGAAAACGACGCCGAGCGCGTACATGTCGGCCGCTTGGCGCGCGGTGAGGTCCAGCGCGAGGTGCCCATGTAGCGTTTCCGGCGCCCGGTAGGCCATCTCCATGACGCCGTACGCATCGACGCTTACATGCGCCTTGACAATCGCCTGGACGTTGAGCTTGCAGATGCCCGCGGCGTTGACGAGCACGTGCATGGTGCAGAGGCTGCCGTGCGCACGCTTGGCATCCGTGTGGAGGTAGGCGAGGCCCTCGGCAATGTCGAGGCACATGGCCCACATCTGCTTGGTGCTCAGCTCCGTCTTCTTGTTGTAAATGACGTTGAGCACCGAGCCTTGGACCATAAACTCCATGGCGGCGCAGAGCGTGGTCGAATAGACAACGAGCGAGACGCCGTGAACCTCGACAATGTTCTTGTGGCGCAGCGCCTTCATCTCCTTGAGCTTGGCGACAAAGTCCGTCTTGTTGGCGGTCGACGACGTCGTCAAGTCGATGCACTTGAGAAAGACCGTGTCGCCGTGCAGCTTGCACGTCCGCGCCATCGTGTCGGTGCCCGACCGCAGCGGCGCCGTGCGCTCTCGCTCCAGCGGCAGCCACATGTCGACGAGATCGTCACGCGTCGGGAGGACCTCCACGTCGAACGGGTACGGCTTGGACGGCGCGGCCTCGAGGCTAAACTCGGCGTACTTCTGCATGACGCTCAGCGCGATCGAGCGGAAGGTCGAGAGCATGGTGACAAAATCAAGAATACCCGGATTCCGTCAAAGGCTGTCTCCGGATACGACATGTGTATCCGTACTATTGCAAAGTGAATTTACTGTGAATTTTCGGCACCAAATTTTATTCAAGTCGAGAGTGCTGGTGTGGTGGGTCGCGACCACAAGACAGTGACGTGCCTCAATGTTGTGTGAATATACTGGGAAGGATAAATCACTGTGGATAGATGGATGTCAACATTTGCCGTTCGAGTCCCCACGGCGGCTTGTGGATCCAAAGAAAGAGGAAACGACGAAACTGGTTGATCCAAAATAGTGTTGAGTCGAGCTGGCGCTGGTGAGCAAACTTCAAAGTCCTCCAAGCAAAATACAGTCAAATGGCCCACATGTATAGATCGTACAGCGCGGCTGATAAGAAATTGAGGTTTTGTGCGTGGTACTGCTTATTCGTCGTCATTTTCTCGACCTATCTCGGTTCTTGGTCGCCATTCTCTCCTTCTCTACCTGCTCTTTCGTCCAACTGTTAATCTTATTTATACAAACACGCGCCAAGTCGCATCTTCTTGACGCTATTTTCATAAACATCAAATCGCTCGCTTCCACACCCAGCACAACGCCAAAAACATTGCATTAGAGCATCTCCACCGGTTCCCCGTATCCCACACTGGCTCTGGGTTTTTTTACCGGGCGATTTCGCTCTGTATATCGCGATACAGAGCAAGATAAAACAAAACGCCCCACCGGTCGCCCTGTAAAAAGATGCCGGGAGTCGCAATTTGTATGGCGTCGATAACTTCGAACTTCGTCTTAAAATTCGATTTTGTATCCATTTTTTGACTAGTATACAAAACATGAGCCATTCGCGATATTACCGGGTAAAAAGCCAGGGTGCCCGGGCGCCCTGTATCGGGCACCAGGATACAGGGCGCTCGGCCAATTTTTGCTCCACCCGGTAAAAATTATACAGATACAGGGCGATTTACAGGGACCGGTGGGGCATTTCCCCGGTAAATTTTTTACAAATTTGGAAATTTTACAGAGCCAGTGTAGGATAGCGCGGACGGGTGGAGAAGCTCTTATTCCCTTAACACCACATAGCTCGTCTGGAGTATAATGTACTTCCTACAAGTTGTGGCTCTTTTTTCGTGTTGCAACTACTTTTTTCTGAGCTCGTTTGCCCAATCGACCTCGATGTAAATGTCCAAGGAGCAGGCGTGTCGTGGAATGCATGTCTTGAGAATCTGACGCCGTTGACGCAAAAGGACGACGATGCACGGCGTCACGCTAGCGTCAACACTGAAACACCGAGCTTGTCTTTTCGCTTCACACTATTTCCGTGGCACCTAAAACCTCTTATAACGCATATCCGTGAAAATGAATACACTATTAAATGACAGAGGACCTCGGATTGGATCGTCAAGCGAGCGGGTGTTGGTTGTGTTGAGAAACTTCCACAGCGACCACAGGCGGAGACTGCAGCATGGACTCGGACAGCGACCTCGAGCCGCTGCGTAAGAAGGTCAAGAAGACGCCGGCGAAGCGGGCCGCCGACTCGGACGACTCGGACTTTGACGAGACGCCGCTCTCGAGCCTCAAGCCCAAGAAGGCCAAGGCCGCGGTGAAGAAGGAGCTCAAGAAGAAGCCGGCGACAAAGGCCAAATCCTCGGCCAAGGTGTCGGCCAAGGATGCCAAGACGACCAAGAAGAAGGCGACGAGCAGCAGCGTCAAGGTCAAGTCCGAGTCGGGCGCCGTGCGCAAGCTTAAGGTGCAGAGCAAGTCGGAACGACTGGACATGGCGATCAAGGCGTACCGCTGGTGGAACGCTGAGGAGCTTCCGGAAGACATTCAGTGGCGCACGCTCGAGCACAACGGCGTCATGTTTCCGCCGTCGTACGAGCCGCATGGCGTCCCGCTCTACTACGACAACCAGCCCGTCGAGCTCACGCCGGCGCAGGAAGAGATTGCGTCGTTCTACGCGGCGATGCCACTCGACGGCCCGCAGCTCGGCAACCCGAAGACGAGCGAGATGTTTACCAAGAACTTTTTCGCCGACTTTAAAGAGGCGCTCGGGAAGGGCCATGTGGTCAAGAACATGGCGAAATGCAACTTTGACTTGATCCGCAAGCACCTCGACGAGCAGCGCGAGAAGAAGCGCGAGCGCACAAAGGAAGAGAAGGCGCCCGAGAAGGCCAAGCGCGAGACCGAGCTCTTCAACTATGGCTTTGCCATCGTCGACGGCCACTTGGAGAAGGTCGGCAACTTTCGCATCGAGCCGCCCAACCTCTTTCGCGGCCGCGGTGAGCACCCAAAGACGGGTACGCTCAAGAAGGCGGTCATGCCCGAAGAAGTCACGATCAACTGCGGCATGGAAGACCGCGTCCCGGTGTGCCCGATGCCGGGCCATGCGTGGAAGGAGGTCATCCACCGCGACACGGTCTCGTGGCTCGCCTACTGGAACGAAAACGTCATGGGCGGTATCAAGTACGTCTGGCTGGCCGCGTCCTCGAGCTTCAAGGGCAAGGCCGACATGGAAAAGTACGAGAAGGCGCGCCGGCTCAAGAAGTTTATCACGAAAATCCGCAAGGACTACACGGAAGGGCTCAAGGCCAAAGACATGTTTACGCGCCAGCGCTCGACGGCCATGTGGGTCATTGACGTGCTCGCGCTGCGTGTCGGCAACGAGAAGGGCGAGGACGAGGCCGATACCGTCGGCTGCTGCTCGCTGCGCGTCGAGCACACGAGCTTTAGCGACGAGGGCTGCGAGCTCACGCTGAGCTTCCTCGGGAAGGACTCAATGCCGTACAACAACACGATCCGTCTCGCCGAGTATGGCAGCGTCGGCGAGCTCGTGTACCGCAACGTCAAGAGCTTTTGCGCGAAAAAGCAAAAGCAGCAGGATATTTTCGACGAGCTCAGCGTCACGGAGCTCAACAAGCACTTGAGCTCGCTCATGCCCGGGCTCTCGGCCAAGGTCTTTCGTACGTTCAACGCGTCCGTCACGCTCGAGAAGGAGCTCCCGCGCATCTTGTCGGGCGACGACGTCGCGGTCAAGGTCGTCGCGTACAACGACGCCAACCGCAAGGTACACGCTTCCTATCGGATCGAAATATCAAACAAAATGGTTGTATAGGTCGCCATCCTCTGCAACCATCAGCGCACGGTGCCCAAGAACCACGATACCGCCGTCGAAAAGATGGTCGGTCAGCTCGACCAGATGAAGGACCAGCTCAAGGAACTGGAAGAGATGAAAGTGCTTCTCAAGAAGAACAAGACCAAGCAGATCCAGATCAAGACGGAAGACCCAGACGACGACGCCGAGGCCAAGAAGGCCCAGGCGCATCGCTTCTCCAAGGTCCCGTCCGCCGACCAAGTCGACAAGAAGATAGATAGCTGGAAGAAGAAGATCAAGGCGCTCGACCTGCGGCTGCGGGACAAGGTCCGCATGCTGATGCTGCTGCTGCTCTGATATGCTTGGATAGAACGACAACAAGGAGGTCGCGCTTGGTACGTCCAAGATCAATTATATGGACCCGCGCATCACCGTGGCGTGGGCCAAGCGGGTACGACGTCGTCCTCGTCGCAACACGCACATGCTCATGCCAAGTCGTAGAACGAGGTGCCCATCGCCGGCGTCTTTCCCCGTGCCCTCCGCGAAAAGTTTGTCTGGTCGATGGACGTGGATCCCAACTGGACGTTCTAAGAAGGCCTCGTCTTCTCATGCATCATACGCTGCCATTCTCATCTGCGATCTCGAGTCGATAGTTTTGCATTCAAGCTTACGAGGCCGGCAATAGCGCCTGCAGGATCGTCGCCATCGACGGCCGCTTGGTCGGGTCTTCGTGGAAGCAGGCTTCGATCAGGTGATGGTATTGGAGAGGCACGGCCTCGTCGAGCGCGAGCCGGCCACCGCCCACCACGTGCGACGCCGCCATGTACGCCGGCATGTCGCCAAACGGCTTGGTCTCCGTGAACGTTTCCCACATGAGCACGCCGAACGAGTACGAGTCGGACCGGAACGAGAAGGCGTGGGGTGGCGTGAGCGACTCGGGCGCCATGTACTTGAGCGGGCCGACGCCTTCGCTGAGCCGGGTCCCGCCATACGAGTTGACCCGCCGGCACATACCAAAGTCGCAAATTTTGCCCCGCAAGCCGTCGTCGACGAGGCAGTTGCTATCAGGCTTGGTTGAAACATTGATAGAAAAGGGGAAACGGTACCGCGCGGCGATGTCGCGGTGCAAGAAGCCGCCTTCGTGGATGTTGAGAAACCCGGCGGCCGCGTCACACAGAATTTGCGTCTTTTGATTCGTCGATAGCGCTGGCGCGTGGCTCTCCAAGCTCCCAAACGGAAGGTACTCGGTCACGAGACTCAGCGGCTGCGAGAGGTCTGTGCTTGCGCCCACGAACGGTACAATGCTCGGGTGGTGCCCAAACATGGCCAGCACCGCGGCTTCGTGCCGAAACTCTTGCACGATCTGGTCCGAGTTGTCACCAAACTCGCTCGCTCGAATCGTCTTGACGACCACCTAGACAGACGGCATCGTATCGCAACCTGCGATGAGCAAGGCATCCGACGTACGTCTCGGCCATGGTACCGGGCTCGGTACGCGTCACCAAAGTTGCCGCGGCCCACGAGCTCCTTCATGTCGAGCGCCGTGAACGGAATCTCTTCAAACGTCTCGGGCAGCATCTCGAGCTGTGTGTTGAGCTCTGTCGCCTCCATGGACGCGGCCGAGATCGACGCAATGTACACGTAGGCGCGGAGGATCATGACCTTTGTCCCGACGACCACCGTGGCTTTGAGGAGCACTTGGTCGCGGGTCGCCTGCGGTACGTTGCACTGGATGTCGTACGCAACGTGGGTCGCGGCGCCCTGCCACGGCAGAGCTTTTGTGGGCGCTTCGTCGACCAACGAAAACCCTTCGGGTAGCTCGAGCGTCACGTGGATGAGCGCACCGCGGCGCAAGTCAAACATGACGTCGCGCGAGAGCTGACGCGCGCTTCCGTCGGCGGTCGCAGCTTCGTGCATGTCGTCCCGCTGGTTGATCAGGAACGCCCAGACGGCAAGAGTAAACGAGCTCTGGGGCGATACGCAGGCCGGGGCGTACGCCGTCAAGTGCACGTGGTCGAGCACATCGTCGGGTGCTAGTGCTGGCGCAAACGGCGTGTTCACCGACCGGTAGAGGCGGAAGCCGCGCGTCTTGGGCTCAAAGTCGCTCGACGAGAACGCCGCGGCCGATGGCGGCGACAGGTGGCCGTACATGCGCTCGTATTGCGTCGGGGACGGCCCGTCAAACTGGTCGTACTGCGGCGGCGACCGAACCAACGAACTCTCAAACAAGTTGCGGTACACGTCCGGCGACTGCGTGTGGAGGCTCCCGGGCATGTAGCTGTACGTGAGACTGCCCGCCGAAAAGGTACTGTACCCAATCGTGTTGTCGCCATACTCGTGGTCGTCGGGCGCCGACTCCATCTGGTACGTCCGTGGCGCCACGTGAATGGCCATGGGGCCGCGCATCGGGCCGGCGGGCGACATGTGCGCACCGGCGATGACAAACGAGCTCGACTGACGTTTCTTCTCGAGGAGCTTCTGTCGCTCGTCTTCGACGCTCCGGCGCTCCTTCTCCAGACTCCGACGCAGCTTCTTGTTGTCTTTGGCTGCGGCTTCGAACCGCTTGTAGTCCTCGATACGCTTGTCAAGGGCTGCGAGCTCGGCGTCGAGGTCGTCTCTGTCGTCGGTGGCGGCAGTGTCTTCGGCCTCGCTTGCGATTGCGATCGCCACGGCCGTACCATGGATCTGGATGGGAATTGGAGCAAGCGCGTCCGGCGAGGTGCTATGACGGGCCAGCGACTCGGTGGGAAGCTCCTCGTTGTGGGCGTGTGCCGTTGGTGCCAGCACGTCGTCCGGCGCGCTCGGGGACGCAGGGGCGGGTTCGGATGGTTGTGGAATCACGAGCGGCTTCTCAACCGTTAGGCTCGTTCTTGCGGGTTGGGAATTCTGCACAGGCAAGAGCGGTGGTGCCGGCTTGGTCGGCGACGACGGGTGTCGCGCAAACGTGTCGCGCACCTGCGTCGACGTGCTGTGGTACACATTGATGGCGATGTCTCTTGCGAGCGGACGGCACTCGTCTCTGACGCTTGGCGCTGGCGACGGAAAGATGCTGTTGTACAAGCCAATGCTGATGGACACAATGACGAGGCAAAGGATCTGCCCGATGACGAGGCCGGCCAAGAGGAAGAGCGACCACTTGACGAGCACTTCGACGGTCAAGCCGCCGCTCGCGTACGTGTCCATGGGCGCGTCTACGACCGTGTGCATGCCAAGGATCCAAATGGCGACTGGAATCGCCGAGAGCGGGCCGACAAACGTGGTCTTCCAGCCAAAGATGTACAGAAGCGTGTGGAGGACGTGCGTACTCGTGAGCTCCGCCGGCCGTGTCTGCATGGACAGCGTGCGCTCGGTCTCATAGAGCGAGAGGACGCCGATCTCGACGCGCCAGTAGTTGCGCACAAAGGCGGTCGCAAGGCCAACGAACCGCGCTTCGTACCCGCCGTCGCCGGCGCCGCCGCGTGCGATCGTGACGAGGCCAAAGGCTACGAACGAGAGAAGCGCCGCGAGGAAGAGGACCGTGTACAGGACCCACGTGCACACGAAGAAGACGATCGTCCGGCGGTTCGACCGGTTGCCGCCGAGGACAACGCTCGAGCCCATCAGTGAAAGGAAAGTCGCCGCCTCTGATTGGCCGCATCCCAAGATTTATGCGCCGGTTGTGCCACTCCAATTGTATTACATACAAATTTCAAATGAATTGAATTGAAAATGGCCACGCATTTCGACCAATGGAGTTTTCCGACAGGCGGCGCCGTGGATCGCAGGGCTGCCAGCTGGACACGACCTGGGCGCCGATGGCTGGTCGCGGACGCCAATGCAGGCGGCGGGCATGGGACGTACCTGCGGTGGGCCGTGGCCGGCAGACCATGGTCGATGCAAGCTTCGCCGTGGCCACGGCCATAGGAGCGTCGACGAAGCATCGCGATGGGTTCCGAGCACCGACCCGAGCACGTTCAGAGACGAGTAGTGTGCATGAGCGAACGATGCTTTATTAGGTAGAGTACACGGGACATTATCTTCTTACAAGTCGGTGATGTCGCCTTCGTAGCGCGCGACCATGTGGTCCGAGATCTTGGGGTGGACCTTGACGATGTGCGCACCGCGGTGTTCGGGGTTGGTGATGAAGACGCAGCCCTTGACGCCGACCTGGGCGGCTGCGTCGCGCATGGCGTCGGCGACCTTGGTCTCGGCACGCTCGCGCGCGACCTGCGTAAAGATGTCGCCCGAGAGACCGGACGTGATCGCGAGGACGCTCGGGCCCGCGCCGCTGAGGAAGCAGCCGTGCGCGCCGGCTTCGAGCGCCGCGTCAATCAGCGGAAAGAGGTGGCGGTACTGCGCGGCGCCACGCTGGGGCTGGTGCAAGCGATCCTGGACCGCGTGGCGCAGCTCCGGAAGGTTTCCAGACTGGAAGGCGTTCACGAGGATCGCCGCACGACCAATGTTGTACACGGCGTCGCTGCGGTCAATCTGTCATGCGCTATATGAGCCATCGGCGAAAGACTGCAAAACGGACCTTCTCGGGGAGGATCGCGCGGGCTGCGCTCGTCTTACCCGTCGTCTCGGGAATGAAGAGCACGCATTGCATCCCATCCGGGATCTGGACGCGCGACGAGTACCACCGGTCGTCGGTAAAGATACCCTAATGATGCAGTCGATCTGGATAAGAGGACGTGGATACGCGGGTCTCGTACGAGCTGAAGGCCGCCATAGATGCAAGGCGCAACGTTGTCGGGATGGCCTTCAATGCCCGCCGCCTACGTGTATATGTAGGAGAGCATGCATCTCGTAACGACGCCGTACGATCTGCAAGAGCTCTTCCTTGCCGTGCACCGAGAGCTCGTGGCCGGCGATGACAAGACCGGCAATGATACCAGCAACGATCCCTGCCGAGCTGCTTCCGAGGCCACGCGCAAAGGGAATACGGTTGCGGCAGTGGATGCGCAGCGTTGGCATCGGTTGGCCCGCGGCCTCGAACGCAGCCTTGAGGCCGACGACGATGAGGTTGGTCTCGTCGGTCGGGAGCACGCCCGCGCCCTCGCCTTCGTTCGTAAACGAAAAGGTAGCCGCCCGCTCGACTGTGAGCTCGTTCCAGATGTCGAGCGCCATGCCGATCGAGTCAAAGCCCGGGCCCAAGTTGGCGGTCGTCGCCGGCACTCGGACCGTGACGGAATCCTTGGGTCCAAAGCCGCTGCCCGTCGCCGAGGTCGCTTGGCGGGGCACTGCCGTAGGCTTGGGCTTGGGCGCCGCCTTCTTGGCGCCGACGTAGTAGACGAGCGCAGTGCAGAGCGCAGCAGCGGCGAGCTTCGTAGCAACGTCCGGAAGCATCTTGGGTTCTGGTGGATCGGGTGGTCAGTTGCTCACCTTGAAGTGACAAGCGCAGGAAGATTTTTGTGGCGTGGTGTCAAATGGGATCTTCCACTGTCTCAATCGTCTGCAATATATCAATAGTGTCTCAATATGGATCGGAGAACGACAGGGCGGTGGTATTCGATTCCGTTCGATGGGCCGCTCTCGTGTCATATCCTTCACTCTGTGAGGACATTTCAAGGGCATTCATGTGCGGTGCATGTACCTCCCGGGGCAGTCCTCGTCCGCCGGTGCATGCAACGTCCACGCAGAATCGAGACACAATTGAGATATTCGCCGGATCACAGATATCTCTGGCGCGCAGGAACTGTATAAAACAGAGTTTAAAACATATATTGCGCAATCACATACAATCGAATGTATCGAACAAAGAAAGCAAACACAATCCGGAATTGCATATATCGAATATGGCAGTATATATATTTTGAGGGTATATGTCCACATACAAGTGTCTCGGCGCCAGCTGCTGTTGGCACTGACAAGTGGACGTCTGTCTCTGCGCCGAGGCTCACAATTTGTCGGGTAATGTGATCACCACAACTCTCAGACGACGCTGACACGGTGGAACGTAATCGTCCGCGTCTACAAGCCTGATTCCGCGTCTTCGCGCAGGTTGTCATCGCGCCCGTTCAGCGCCGCACGACGTTTCCGTGCCACTGCCCAGTGGTGCCCGTTCGAGGCTCTTGGTGCGACCACTGACAGCGATCCCATGCACGCTCATGCTTTCATTCTGGCGCGCCATTTTCAAATTCAAAAACTCTCGCCAGACGCCGCCGGGTCATCCATATACATACACAGGCGCACGCGAGCTCCGCCTACTCCCAACCGTGTATTACGCTGGACGAGCACCATGTTGCATCGACAGTGACGTGAACGTTGTCGACGCAATCGTGGGCGCCCAGTATCCGGATACCAGAAACGCGCGCATACAAACACCAAGTCCAAGGCCGTTTCGCTTTTTTTCGCATGATTTTCCAACTGCGGTCAGTTTGCATTTTGCCCTTTCTGTGCGATGCTCGAGACGATCTCGCTCCTCGCCGAGTGGCTTCCGAGCCCGCTGCAGTGGGCCTACCTCGTGCTGGCGCTTCTCGTCTCGTACTATGTGCTGTCGCCGTCCCGGTCCCGGCTCCCGCCTGGCGACGAGCCCGTGCGCGGCCACGACCTCTGCTGGTTCCTCCTCGACGACCAGATCCCGTTCATTATCAACGCGTTCCAGACCATGGACCGCATCTCGCTGAGCGAAGTGCGCGCGCTGGTGCAAGCCCGCATGGTGGACAAGCAGAACCGCCTCACGCACCGCATCGTCTACCACCATGGCCGGCCATGCTGGAGCCGTGACGCCAACTTTAAGCTCGAGAAGCACGTGTACGCCGACGAGAACGCCAATGTGCACAGCGAAGCCGAGCTCAAGGCGTACGTGAGCAAGCACTACACGCGCGACTTGGACCGCTCGCGGCCGCTCTGGGAAATGATCCTCCTCGAAGACTACAGCCCAAGCGAGAGCGTCCTCGTCATGCGTTTCCATCACGTTGTCGGCGACGGCATCTCGCTCGTCGCAATGATGTTTAACGCTGTCGACGAAGTCCCGACGCCGACCGCGGCACCCGTCAAGGTCGGACAAACCGCCTCGAGTCTCTCATTGCTCAAGAACGGCGGCAACAACATTGCCGCGGCCATTGGCCAGCTTCGCCCACGGGACGTCTCGCCGTACCGCCCGCCACGCGTGAGCGGCAAGATGCGTGCTGCGTGGAGCAGCAAGATCTCGCTCGCGGATCTCAAGTTTGTCAAAAACACATTCGAGTGCTCGATCAACGATGTCGTCGTCGCGTGCGTCACCGCCGCGCTCCGCGCCTACCTTGAAAAGACGGGCGGGCTCAAGGCTACGGCGCGCGTGCGTGCGAGTCTCCCCGTCAACCTCCGCGGTCCGTCGCTGAGCGCCAACCGAACGCTCCAAAACTACTTTGGCATTGTCTACTTTCAGTTCCCCGTGCACGAAGCCGACCGGCTGACGCGCTTGCACTTGGTCAAAGCGCGGGCCGCATCCATGAAGGCGTCGATCGAGCCGCATTTGACGCTCCTCGGTCTCAGCGTCATCGCCAACCTCCCGCTCTGGCTCGCGCGGCCGCTGCTGCATGTCATGAGCAGCAAGGCGACGCTCGTCTTCTCCAACGTCCCGGGCCTCCAAGAGCTATGCTCGATTGGCGGCAAGCGGCTCCACGACATACACTTCTTCGCACCGGGCGGGTTCCTCCCCATCAACATTTCCGTGCTCTCGTACGCACACAACGTCGACTGCAACGTTGGTGCTGACGAGAGTGTCTGCGACGACCCGCAGTACATTGCCGACGTCTTTGTGACGGAGTTTGAAGCACTGCATGCACTCGCCAAAGCCCGTACCTAATCGTATTGTATAATCGTTTTGCGTTTGTCTTGGAGTTGTGTTATCCAACATCGTCAGGTCTCTCGGTCCAGTTAGCGCGACGCTTTTGTGGCCTTGGGACCGCGGTGGCGGCGACTGCGGCCCGTTGGCGGGTGGTACTTGCGCTGGCAGTTGAAGCACGCGCGGCTGAGCCACGCCGACTTGTTGAGGATGCTCTCTTTGCGCAGCTCAAAGCTCACCGTGATACCGACGGCGCGAAACGGGTCGGCGGCCGCGAGCTCCAAGAACTTGGTCACGGCCTTCTCGTCAAACGCGTGGCCTTCCGCTTGCATGCGGTCGACCCAGCTTATGGTCGCGGCGCGAACGTCGTCCGCCGTCATGTTGGTCTGCATCTCGGAGCTGGCGTGGATTTGGATCGACTGCTTCTGGATCTCTTGCGGGGTCGGTGCGTCGTACAGATACCCTCGTTTCACGACCACGTCGTCGGCCGAGTCCTCCGTGGCGGTTGGCGACGCCGACGCGTCATCCTTCTCGACCTCGTGCGCGTCGCTTTCGTTGTCGTCGTGGTCCGAGTCGTTGACGCTGCGCTCCGACGACGTGCTTGGGCTTTGCGGCTCCTTTGGCGCGGGTTCGTCGGTCGTGAGGCGTGTGAGGAACGGGTCAAACTGCAGCGCGTGAAAGGTCGTGCCGTCGTCGTCGTCGTCATCGTCGTTTGCACGATTGTTTTCTTGTGGCACGTACACGCGGGGTGCGTCACCAAAGTCTTGAAGGAGCATGTCCTTGGCAAAGCTAAACTCGACATCGTCCGGTACCTCGTCCTCGTGGCGTGGCGTAGGATCTACGCGGTGGCGCGGCGAGCAAATCATGCCAAAGCTCGGCGCGGGCTTGGCACTCAAGCTGAGCTCTTGGTCGTTCTCGGACAAGACAGGAGACCCTTGCGGCTCGAACGTTGTTGCTGGTGCGTCGGTTTCGATTGCGTCGAGCGGATGCAACCCAAGCGACGAAAAGGCGAGGTGGTCGGGCTCGGATGACGACGCAGGCAGCGGTGGCGGCAGTTCGTGCGCGCTGTTATAGTTGTTGTTGCCTTCCATGCTCGGCGCCGGGTGCGAGAGCTGCGGTGGTGGCGCCGGGTAAAAGTAGCCAAACGGGTACGGACTGCGGTACAGCCCATACGGCGGCAAGACGAACGCGCTGAGCGGCGGCACCTGCAGCTGGTAGAGGCTGCTGTGGATCGCGCTCGGGTCGACGTACTGGCCTTGCGACAGCTGCTGTATGACCGACGCGACAAAGCTCAGCGAGGGCACGAGGTCGGGCGGGAGGGCGTGGGCCTGCAGCAGCACGTGGAGGACGTTCGGGAGGTACGGCGTCATCGGCGACTTGGTCGGGAAGGCCATGAGGAGGCTGCTGGACAGCGCCATGCAGCGCGCGACAAGCTCGTCGCTCACGTTCATCGAAGAGAGGAAAAGTGCGCGTTGACGGAGCGGCCAATGTATCCGGATATAGATACCATATCCTCGCGCGTATCCGGATTATCCTGTGCCCCTTGGTGCAATGTCGATGGTTAATTCATTGTGAGAGGTAATACCTCTCAAATCGCATACATTCGGCAACTTCAACCTCGAATTCCGAAGAAAAGACGGTGTTTCGGTGCTTCTTTGGTGCCGCCTTGAAAAGAGCAATCGCTGTGTACACCAACATCTGCACGACTACCTGCTGCTTGCAAGGTACACCATGCTACGCCATCTGGGCACGCCGTCGAGAATGCCCCGGTATTGTTACCGGCAGTAGGGCGAAGGGTATGTCTGGTTTGCGATGGATTCAAAGGGCGTTCGATTAAGCGGAATGCGGCGGCTTGGTGAGGTTTGTAGCACCGACTAAAGTCTCGTTGGCGCTCAGTGCCATCTCGGGGATGTGGGACTTGGAGAGAAAATGGCCTTGGCGTCCGTTGTGAAGTGCGAGGTCCATCTCTCGAAAGAACGCCTCTTTTGTGAAGCCCAAGTGCGCCTCGACCTCAGGCCCGCGGTGCAGCTACGATACAACGTCATATTGGAGCAGTAAATGGAGACGCGTCGTGAACCTGGTCCGACTTGCGCCGCACGACACGCTCTCGCCAGTACTCTGCGAGACGGTGGAGCGTTGGTGCCTACGTCGTGCTCAGAACGACCACGAATTTAGATCGACGAACGCACTCGGAGGTGCTTGTAGACGACGATGTGCGCCATGGCGGCGAGCGCGCTTGGCACAAACTCTGCCGCCAGCTTCTTCTGGACGATGCCGCAGTGGGGGCACACCCCTATTCGCGAGCGTATGGCAAGCCGTTCGGTTGTCACGAACCCGAAATCTCGGCGGCTGTGCTCGTGCGACGGCCGTGCGCGACGCGACACGGGTCACAGATCAAAGTAGAGAAGGCAATTTCAACGGTCGGAGCGGTCAAGAGGAGACAGACAACGACGTCGCTCGATTTGCCCTTCTTGCCGTCGCCCGACCGAAGAAACCGGTCAAGGAGACGCCCGTCGGCCTCGCTAAGCTATGCACGATCACGGTCACCTCACTGAAATCGTATGGGACAAGAGCGTACATCGTCGCTGAGCACAACGAGGTCGTAGCTGGGCACGACGTTGTTGACTGCTGGAGCTTTGCTCATCTTGGCAAAGCGCACGAGGGCTTGCTATAGCCAGACGTATGACACGGTGTGCGTCGACACGACGCCTACCTCTCCGTTCATGGCCAGGTCCCAGTCGAATTGCTCCTTGCGCAGAATCTTTTCATTGGCCACCTAGTCAACGCGTCCATCAAACGACTTGTCCAGATGTATCCGTAAGGGTCCTACGTGCAGCTTGACGTTGGCCTGGACCAGAAGCGTCCGCGGCGGCTGGTCCATGAGGTGCGTGAGGCTTGCGTTCTTGGTCGTCGGCGTGATGCGCAGGGCTTGTCCCCCCAGACTCGAGACGCTGACCAGCTTGCCTTCGAAAAAGCTAGGACTGCGTCAGCACATGAAAGGCTCACAAATGGGTTACAAGAGAAAGGTTGGAGCGGCGTGCACTCGATACCGCTTGGCGAGCGCGCGCGACTCAGCCAAGTCGACTTTGACCAGACGATACTTGTGGTTGGTAATGTTGGCCCTAAGATTGGTCCTCAGCAATATCAACCGCAGATATGATTTTGGTACACAAGCGACTGGGAAAAGGCGTGTTGTTGCAGCTCGTCGGGTTTTTCACCCAGCACTTGGTGCACGAGTTCGAGCACCTTCTCAGCGTGGCGGCTGAGCCGGTCGTCTTCGCGCAAGCATGCCACGAGCACGATTTGGTCAGTGCCGCAATCTGAGACCAGAAATTCGTCGAGATGCGACGCTGAGACCACTTCAAGGCGCAGGCCCATGGGCACAGCGCTACCTCCGGGCACCTAGATCCCGTATAAGATTCCCTACGAGACTTGCAATCGTAGGTACCTGAATGTCGACGCTGTAGCGACCACTGGCATTACAAAGAACTGCTGTTCGTGGCAGCACGGGGTTGGCGTGTTCGAGTTTTTGGCGAATTTCGAGCGACGCAAGCCACTGCCCGTCCTTGTTTTTAAGCTTGTGGAGCAAATGCTTTGTTTCGTGCGGCTGCATCGGCTGGCCAAAGAGTGTCGGCTCTGTCCCGACTTCGAACCCCGTTGGGGGCAGCACGGGGAGCTCGGCCAATGTTCGTTCGCGCGCATCGTGGAGCCAATTACCGCTGCAGTATGGCGTCACCTTGCACCCCTAGATCGCTCATTGTTCAAGTACGTTAAAGAAGCCACAAACTGCACCTCGTAATTGTCAAATTTGCGTTCGAGGCCCGTGACGACCTCTTTGATGGACGGGTGCTGCAGGTCGACGCTTCGTGGATGCTGCTTGCTGCGCTTCTCCAATGCCGCCAGCTCAATTTGCTTTTGGCGCTGCACAAGGTTCGGACAACTCGTGTCGACCAAGAGCTTGCCCCGCAGCGGCCCGGAAGTGATTCTAGCGACGGCGTGAACAAGGCTTTTGTGCGACGAGGTCTACCGGCGGCTGTGCCCGAGGTACGTGTCTTCGCGCTTGAGCTTTTCGCCGCAGTGAAACTCGAGGGCGATGCCGCAGTTGACGAACTTCACCGACACATTCTTGCGGTCGACGTATTTGAAGGTCATGGTTTCGTTGAGCGCAATAACAATCGGGTCCGTCGGCGGCGTCCCCGCGTTCTGCGCGTGCGGGTTCCAGCGCCATTGCTACATGCACAACTTGTCATATCGTTGGGCGACAGAGCTGACGTACGTGAACAATATCATTGTGGCCGTCCGAGAGAATCGCGCCGTCTTTGGTCATGACGAGCTTGGTGCCGTGGGGCTTGCCCGCGGCGCCGACCTAGGTTGACTCAGGCGCGACTAGCACGCTGTTAGGACCTACAACGTGCTCGTCGATCGAGCACAAGATGCGCTTCAGTCGGTTGTCTACAGTCCACAAACTTGAGAAAGCCAACGAAGGTCGAGATGCGGACTCTCGTAAAAGGTGTGGCGGCGCTGGAGAGCGTTCACCTTGCTGACGCACACAGCGACGCGGCCCGTCTCGTAGCTACAGCGTGCAGTGAGCTCTACGCGTACGTACACCCCGGCGTACTAGCAAAAGCCGCAGCCATCGCTGTCGAAAACAACGGCCTGTTCGCCGGTCGGGTACGTCAAGTTGAGATCCGCCTTGTCGTCTCTCTTGGCGCCTGCTTGCTCCTTGGCCACTAGCACATCGTACAGCCACCGATGCGACCCTAGGACGCCAGTACCGAGCGCGTCCAGTGCCTCTTGGTTGTTCTGCATTGCGATGACTAAGAATAGCGTACAACTTTAGTCATGAGTGTGCACAGTTTGGTAGTATTCACATTGCATAAATGTCCTCCGAGCTATTTAGCACCCGCCCGCGTAGACACTCGGGAACGACGAGGCGTCGTCATTGCACTGTCCGTGGTCGCCGGTTGAGTGATGCGCGTCATGATGGTGATGGCCATGGTGGTGACCATCGTGGTGCTGACCATCCTCCTCGTGGTGGTGGTGGTGGTGGTGGTGCCCAGTATCGTCGGCACTGCTACTGCTGGACGACCCGCGATCTTCATGGGGCACGGACACTGTTATGTCGCTCGAGTCGTTGGTCATCGACTCGGACGACGACTCTTCCTTCTTCTTCTTCTTTTTCTTGGTCTTGTCCTTGGGCGTTGAGCTTGGGCGTGTGCTCGCACGGTCTGCACTCGGCATTGGCTCGTCTTCGTCGCGGTTGGAAAAGTAGGTGGCTACTTCATCGCGGAGCTCGGGCGAGGCTGCGGCCGACCACTCGAGAAGCCCCGTCTCGGGACTCACGTGAAGGTGCTCGAACGGGTCGAACTGGTGCTTGGCGAGCGTCTGCCACCGGCCCATGTACTGGCGGTTCACGAGCGACCCGTGCCAGCTATGAAAGATGGACCCGGGGACGTAGCCAAGCTGGACGCCGTACTCCATCGCGACGGCCTGCCAGTCCAAAATCATCTGCGAATACGCAGGTGCGATAGTGTAGTTGGTCGGGATTGAGTCTTGGGCGCGCCCGAGGATCGCCATGGCCATGTGGCGGTCCGCCGAGCCGTACGAGCGTTCGATGAGACCGCCGGTGGCAAGGAACACGTCCCGATGCAGCGCCCACGCAAAGCCCGGGTGCCAATACTCCTCATGGTCGTTCGAGACGTTCTTGAGCGCAGACGCGAGCTTGTTGTTCATGTGGTACTGGTACCCAAAGCCTTTCACGACCACCGGCGTCGGGTTCTCGAGCGTCGCCGTCTCAAAGAGCTGCAGCATCGCGTGCGGGTGCAGGCGGTCAAGCGTGTCGGTCACCACATGTGGGCTCTCGAACGTAATGTCGGCGTCGACGTACGCAAAGTACTCTGCGCAGTGGGCCGTGCGCTGGAGGATGTTGCGCACCGTGAGGTTGATGAGGTTCTCCTTGCTCCAGATCGCATTCACCGACGGCGTCCGCAACGTAAGATCATATTGCCCTTGCACGTCCAAGCTCACAAAGTCGAGGCTATCGTACGCGATCTGGGCAACGGCAATCTCGAGCTTGTCGCGGCCATGGAGCGCCGCTTGCAGCGCGAGGAGATGGCGGTGCGTCTGCAGCAGGAGCTTTCGCCGGCTCGCAAAGCCTTGCGGGTTGGAGTAGACGAGGATCACATGCAGCGTCCGGGCGGCGGAGGGCGCGGCGACGTCCCGCGCCGCCTCTTTCTGGCACAGCGCGCCCATGCTCTTGGCGTTTGCGGTGATGGCGACGCCTGTTACTCACGCCAAAATCTAGAACCGCCTTGATCGGGCAAACAACGTTTTATGCGTTAAACGCCACCACGCGGTCTCTCGGAACGCGATGCCATCACCTTGGTCATGTCATCGCCGCCATCGTATTGCAACCATTCTTGACGTCCTCGTGGTCGTCGTCGTCGACCTCGTTGTCGTTGCCGAGCTACTCGTTGCAGTTGGCGTTGGTGCTGCGGATCATTACACCGCGGAGGTTGATGGGTCAGCAATCGTCGCCACCACTCGTCGTCCAAGATAACGAGCGAGATCCGCACATCCGCAGTGCTGCTTGGAACGTCGCGAGTAGCTACACACAAGTAGCTTTGGTCAACGCTGACGCGCGCTAAAATTTCACCAAACGAGACACGGCAGCGCTGTCTCCACAGTACAAGCTGCGCCGATGGTTGCCTACAGTACGTATAGCGCGTCGCTGCCCACTCCTTGGACCTTGCTGTGGCACGGCGGTGGGCCGAGGCGGTTCGGGAGGGTGCTCGGCCTGTCGGAGATCCAGCAGCTGATGCCACCAAGATCGCCAGCTGGTTAGCGCACGATGGAACCTGCTTCCGATGGACGTGGCGTAGCCTGTGGAGGTGGTGCAGGGCGAACGCCGCCGTGGCCGTTAGTCGAGGGACGGCCGGCGCACGTGCTTGGGTTGTGTTGGGTGCCGGCTTGGCTTTCTCCAGCGTCCGGGGGAATGCGTTATAGTCTAAAACGCAGGACGGGTTAAAGTCCGGCGTACTTTATGGGGACGCCGGTTGGCGGTGGGTTCCAGTATTTGACGACTGCGCCCGCGACCGACCGACCGCTTGTCCGCTGCTGCCATGGACCGCTTCGACGTCGACGAGCTGGACTTTGAGTCGGTTGAGCCTGTCCGGCCGAGCTCCTTCGATGGCACGAGCGCGCAGAAGTTTGACATTGCGATCCGCGCCCGGCAGGCGCTGCCGAGCCTGAGCCTCACGGCGACCTGCAATACGAAGCTCAAGCAGCTCGATTGGCGCTTCGTCAAGAAGGACAAGGAAGTCTCGATCCATCGGCTCGAGCGCGAGAAGCACGGCAACTCGCTCACGACGCGCGTGAGCTTCCGCATTAGCGTCGAGATCAAGTCGTACCTCGAGACCATCATGGACGCACTCGTGCCCAAGTCGCCGATCGAATACTTGCACATGGAGAAGCGCATGTTTCCCAAGTTTGTCGACGCGGCCGTCTTGCACCAGGTCGAGGACGACGAGATCTCGGAGCTACCGACGTACCCGCGCCACTGCGTCAAGTGGCATGCGTCGCACCTCTTGACCAACCGCATCACTGGGCGCATGGGCACGCCAACAGACTTTGTCTTTGAGGAGTTTGCGGACGTCGAGACGATTGAGAACGTGCAGTGTGGCTTTGGCTACATCCAGAGCTGCGACTACCCCGAGGTACTGGACTCGTCCCTTCTTACCAGAGGACGCAACGCGACCTCGTAGGCAGACCTTCGCCGCGTCAGCGCGATCAAGTGCAAGCGGGGTCTCATCCGCAAGGGCGTCTTCCTCGTGCAGCCCAGCGCGCCGGACTCGGTCATCCACGAAGTCACGGCCATGTACATTATGGACTTTCCGAAGAACCTCGGCATCAGCGTCGATCGCATCATCTCGGCGTACGCCGATCGGCTGCGCAACATTCGCGAGATGCTCATCAACACGCTCTTCCAGCCGATCCCAATTTTGCCGCGCGACCAATGGGTCGACGACCGGTGCATCCTCCCACCTACCCTGTCGTAACTCACGCAGTGCTTTGACTAGGTCCCGGCGAGAGTGCTGTGTGTGCACGCAGACCTTTACGCTCGTGCGGGCGCGACACCACTGCCGCGCCTGTGGCGAAGTCGTCTGCGGCAACTGTTCGCGCAAGTGGTCGGTGCCGGTCAAGAACAACGGCGAGCTCCTCACGCGGCTCTGTACGCCGTGTTCGCTCAAAGCCCGGAGCAATCTCATGCCATCGGTGGTCCACACGAACCGGTTCTCGCGCTCCAACACGACCTTGGGCCTCGACCCACCGATGACGGACTTTGAGATGCACTTGCACACGTCGTACCACCCGCATTTGAACTCACTCCCGCTGCAGAAACCGATCTTTCACTCGGTCCGCGTCGGCGCCGCCGCGTCGGTCGTTGACGACACGGTGGCGGCCGTCGAAGGCGCATGGCATCAGCTCGTGACGGGGCCGCTCCAGCTCAATCGGCCGCATTTCGTCCTCGTCAACTACTCGTGTGCGCACGATCCATATGCGATTGCCGAGACACTGCATCGGCTGGCGCCGGACCTTGTGTTTTGTGGCGCAGCGCTCTCGATGGAGAAGGGCGACGTGACGTACTTTGAAGGCGGCGTGGACGGCAAGCTCGACAAGTACCCGCATTTGCTCAGTCTCTGGGGCCTCTACGATGTGGATGGGAGCTTCACCGCCAACGGCGTTGGCTTCCAGGGCATCGAGCCCAAGGAGGCGACACGCCAATGCATCAAGCAGAGCATTGTGGACCTCGAGCTTGGCCCGACCGAGAGTCCGGTAACGCCACGGTCATTGGACTGTATTCAGTGGAGTGTCTAGGACATGCTGTGGCTCATGCCCACAGACGGCTACGAGGAGCCCGTGGTCCGAACAGTCGAAGGCATGCTTGACACGTCTGCGACGATCCTTGGCGCGACCAGCAAGCACAGTCGTCTCTGCGGCAGCGGCGCGCACGGTGTGTTTGTCATGACCGACGACCAGCCCGGCATCGTCTTGGCCATGTGCAGTCCCAGCATGCAAGTGACCGAGGCGTACTTTACGTGCTACGAGCCCAACGAACGCGTCTTCTCGGTCACCAAGGCCGACGGGAAGCGCCTCCTCGAGCTCGACCACCAGCCGCCGCTGCAAGTGCTCAAAGACGTACGTCGTCCTACCTTGGTCGCGCACGATATCCAGAGTGTCAAATGACGTAGGGCCTTGACCGCAACAAGCGCAAGCTGTACATGGGCTCGCGCCAAAAGGTGTTTCCGGCTTTTGGACGCATGCAGAAAGGCCTTGGCGGCGACGTGTACGTTCAGCAGATCGAGCCCGTCGGCGTGCACTCGGACATGAGCATGACACTGGCGGCCTCCATCAAGCGCGACGACCAGCTCCGCCTCATGTCGATGGACGCCAAAATGATTCCCGACGACATTGCTGCGGGGTCCGCTCGACTTTGCATGCTAGTCCAATCTCCTGATGTCATGTCTGTAGACTGCACGCGAGCCGAGAGGAGGAAGAAGTCATTGGCTGCTACGTGACGGTTGGCGCGAGCATTCTCCAGCACCTGGGCGACGACGCGCCGCAGCTGCGGGACGCGGTGCTGCATGGCATGGGTCGCAACCTCTACGCTGCGATTGCCGGCAATGTCTCGATGACGCAGATTGGTATCATGACGGGCGCGCACAAGCTGTCGTACGGCAACGGCATGGTCGCCGCCCTCCTCGTGACCAACACGAAGAAGCGGTCGGTCGAACGGCGCAGCAACCGCGCCCAGCGCCGGTCGTTCTAGTCCTTTCCTACTAATTAGCTTATTCTTCTTCATCGTCTTCCTTGCTCGTGATCGACGACGACCTTGTCCAAGACACGTTGCCATAGAACCGCAAGCACGTCGCACGACTGGCTTTTCGTTAGTTGTCGGTTCTGTTGCAGACGTTTTCAGCCGGAAATAACCTGCAGGCATGGCGCGTTCCGGTGTCGCACCGCTGCCGACGAAAGGGCCGCTGACGCACGCGATCCCGAGCAAGCTCTCGCTCACCTTTAGCGACACGTCGCTCGAAGGCCAGTACGAGCGCACCCAGTGGGATCGGTACAGTGTCAAGCGCGCGCTTGGCGGGACGCTTGGGTTTGTCGCGGGTCTCTGGGGGGTCGTGCTCCTCGCCAAGAACGAGTTGCTCTCTGTCTACCACGCGAGCGCCACCGCGTGGGTCCTGCCAGTCGTTGGCGGCCTTCAATGTTGCGTCTGGGCGGCGTACGCAAGCTTGGTTTTCTGGCGGCTCGAGCTCCGGTATGGGTGCGTCCTTCGGTCGTTTCTCGCGCTGGCGACGCTGGCGACGGTCGAATTGCTCGTCTTCGGCACGAACCAGCCGACGTACCTCATCACACTCTTTGCCGTCGTCGTCGCGCTCACGTGGCATCTGCCGTTTCTGGAGTTTGTCGTCTTCATTGGCGTTGTCGTCGTCTCGAGCGGGGTGGTCTGGGGCGTCACGTCCCAAGGTCTGCGCCGCACCGTGTTAGGTTATACCCTCACGTCTGTCGAGTAGATTGGGTCGGCTTCGTCGTCCACGTGAGCTTCCTCGCGGTTCTCACGCGCGACTACCATGAGCGAAAGCAGACGCAGCGGCTTCGCTTCATGCAGACCAAGACCGACTTGATCGACACCGCCGAGCTGCCGAACCCAAGCGCGCACAGCGGCATGGAGCTCGTGCTTGAGACGCTCTGTCAACTGCGCTTGCAACACCCGACGACAAAGGCGCTCGACGTCGTGCTCCAAACACTCCTCTCCGAGACCGATTTGTTTACAAGTGTGTTGAAACGTTGATACAAAGGCGTCTGTCTCACCCAATGTGTTGTGAATAGCGTTGCCAATACAAACCGGCGGCGACGACCAAGAAGTCGGCGAGTGGTGGCGGCTCCTCGAAAGCACCAACAAGCGCCTTCGAAAGCGACGCGAGTCGAGTCTCCTCGTCCAGTCGCGGCGCAAGTCGGACTTGGACTTGCAAAACTCGATCGTGCAGCAAATCCGGGTCCTGTACCCGTCGGGCTCGCAAGAGCTGCGGTCGCCGACGATCGCGTCGATTCCGACGGCCGAGCCAGGCATGTTTACGCCCGAGTGGCTTCTCAACCACTGTGGGTCAGGCGCGATCAACATTTTCGGTGCGCTGCACATCGCATACGCGCGGTATCTCAGGATCGACGAATTAGAGCTCTCCCAGCACTGCCAGTACCCCATGACGTCCATCTTGCTCGCAACGCTCGCGCACCAGCACCTCTTTGGCACGCTTGGCATCTCAATGGGCAACATTGCCGAGTTTGCCCTCGAGGTCGAAGGCCACTACCACGCCTCCAACCCCTACCACAACGCAATGTACACCCGCTTCTTGCAACCTTTCCTTAGCCTCTCTATATGCAGGCACGCGGCCAGCGTCATCTGGGATGTGCACCAACTCATGGTGCGCGTGACACGACTCAAGCCGCTGCAGCTCTACTCGCTTTTGGTCGCGGCTGCTGTCCACGACGTGGACCACCCCGGCGTCAACAATACCTTTCTCATTCATAGCAACCACCCGCTCGCGCTTCAGTACTCGGACGACTCGGTGCTGGTAGGTCCTTGCAGCGTACTGCGATCGAGCAAACGTTGTGCATGTAGGAGCGCATGCACCTCGCGCGCGCGTTTGAGCTCAGTCGCAAGAACGGGTGCAACCCTTTCCAAAATCTGTCGGCCGAAGCGCGCGGCCAGTGCCGGCAGATGATCATCCAGCTCGTACTGGCGACGGACCTCGCCAAGCACGTGCAGCACGTCAACCACCTCAAGAGCAAGACGTACGGCACGACCGCCGAGACGCGGTACCTCGACGACGACTACACGATGCGCACGCTTTTGATGATGGCCGACATTGGTCGTCCTCTTTCTATTGCCGTCGTCGTCCCACACTAACAGGTTGGAGTAGGCCACGCGATGCAGCCGTTTGAGCTCCATCACAAGTGGGCCAACCTCGTCCAAGAAGAGTTTTACCGACAAGGCGACCTCGAAGCGGCGCAGAAGCTCCCGATCTCGCCGCTCTGTCAGCGCAAGGACGCGAGTGCGACCAAGTTTGCCAAGAGCCAACTGGGCTTTTTCGAGTTTATCGTCATGCCCCTCTACTCGATCGCCGCGGCGGTCGTCGAGTTCACCGCCATCCAAGACGTGGTTGACAACGTCGACGCCAACGCGGCTGCGTGGAGGAGGCAGGCCGACGCTGACGCCGCGGCCATCCCAGACAAAAGTAGATAGCATCCAAGACGCGAATAAATATCTCATCTTTGCAGCCAGGTTGATAGGCACCAGATGGCGCAGCTACAGTGTACAATGCCACCGCAAGTCCCATCCGACCCGTGTTAAAACCGACGTTGTATCCGGAATTCGTTCCGGATACGCGCTCGTCGGCCAGCCACTCGAGCGTGTGTCGTCTTAACGCTATGACACGCTCATGCTCGAGGATCTACGAGCTAGACAGTACCATGCAAAGCGTTGATGCAAATACCGTACGTTGGTCCACTCTGTGGCGCGCCAAAGACACGGCGAGAATTCCGGCATCCACCATAATAAACTACTGTTTTGTATGTGTAGGAATTGACGCACGGCGAGGTATGAATTAGGAAAAACACCCGTGGACCCGAAAACTGGGATCGGCGCAAGTGCACTTTCGAATTTGCTTCCGGTTCAACATCGAGACCGATGGCGCCAGCCGAACGTGATCCACTCATTGCCTACCCATCGGAGCGCGCCCGGTCGCGCTGGACTGCGCGCTTCATCGCCTACGCGGCCGCAGGTACATCCAGCGTACGCCGCCTCCTTGGTCTAAGCACATGCGTAGCGCTGGCACTGGCAGGCTGCGGCCTCGCCGCGTCGCTCCATCCGGCGCCGTCGCCCATCAACGACGTGGTCAGCACGGCGCTTGCTCTGGACGCGACACTGCCCCGGCGTCCGGCCCACTGCCCGCCCATTGCGCCGCACGAGCGCGTCGTGCTCTTCTGGCAGTCGGAAGTCGGCGGCTGCGAACAGGTGCACCCAACGTTCTTGTCGTCGTCGTGTCGTGACGTCTATCTCGTTAGATCCCGGACGGCGTCACGCACGTGCTCTGGGGGTTTGCCCAAGTCGAGGCCGGTGAAGTGATTCCGCGTTTCCAGACGCATGACGCGCTCCTCACCTCGTGCGTGCAGGCGCTCCGCGCGTACGAACCGCCCCGTCGCATGCCCATCCCACTGATATATAACAATTCATTTTGGTAGGCGCTGCATTTACTCGCTGGGCGTCGTCGGCGGCGCCAACAACAATGACGGCATGGCCAGCATTCGCGACCCACCGCGCTTTGTCCGGAGTGTCTTGTCCCTTGTCGACAAGTACCAGTTTGACGGCATTGACATTGACGACGAGACCAATTACCGAGAGGCGGGCTACAGCAGCCGCGCGATCGTGGCGTACATGACGGCGCTCCGCAACGCGTTCCGGCCGCTCAACCTGCTCCTGACGTACGACGCGTACATGATGGAGGCAAGCCCCCATTGCGGAAAGGGCATGCGCTGCTTCGCCAAAGGCGTCGAGCGCCTCGTCGACTGGGTCAACATCATGGCGTACAACATTGACCGCGACCCAAAGCTCGCCACGGTAAATGCCTTTTCACATTTTTGAAAGTTGACGATTGGGATAGCCCATTTACGAGGCTGCCGTGCATCAAACGTTTCCGCAGTGGCAGCGCCGCGTGCCCAACGACAAGATTACGGTGGGTCTCTGCACCGGGTCGGGTTGTGCGTGGGGTCCCGGGCCGTCGCCCGACGTTGTTGAAGCCTACATTCGCTATGCCAAGGGCACTGGCGGCCTCATGATCTACGCCGGCTCGGCCGACATTGACCAAGGCTTTGTGACGACCAAGGCCGTTGTCGCTCGTCTCCACCCGCAGTCGTCGACGCAGTTGGCGGTCGCCACGACCATGACGCCTGTGCCAACCACTGTGACGCCTGTGCCGACCACCGCGACGCCCGCGCCAACGACGGTGACGCCCGAGCCAACGACGGTGACACCCGAGCCGACAACCGAGACAATGGCGCCAACGCCGGAACCTTGGACGGTGACGCCGGCGCCGACCGAGCCGGGCGTTCGTCCCGATGCGATCTGCGGTTCGTGCTACGACTGCTTTTACGAGCCGATCAAGGGCTGCTTCGATGGCTGGTCCGAGGCGCAGTGCAAGAGCCTTAGCTTCACGTGGTGCGGATAACCATCCTAGTACTAATCTGATTTTCCCCATCTCGCATAAACTGTTCTGTCGCAGTAGCTCGGTAGAGACGAACCCACTCACGCGGATGTGGCCTCGGGGCCGCTCCTCAGCACGTGCGTCATAGAGCACGATAGGCTGGCACGCGCTGCGCACCGATAGGCCTGATGCACTAGTGTCGAATGCATCAACACCATCACCGCGTCGTTTGCTGAAAGCATTATTGGAGCGTAAAGAGCTTGACACTCGCGTCCTCACTGCAGCTGAGCAGCGTCATCTCGGTCGGGTGCCACGCCAGCCGAGTGACTTTGGCCGCGTGGGCTGCGACCACTTGGTCGCGACGCGTCATCTGAAAGCGACCTGCTGCGTCAATGCGCCGAACATCGCAGAGCACAATGCGGCCGGACTCGAGACCGACCACCAGCAATGGTGTCGCACTTGCCGGCGCAAAGGCGACGGCCGTCACGGCCGCGGGCAACGTCATCGGCGCCGCTACCTACAACGACGCAATCCATCTTGAAACATTGATACGAATGTGACGTACCTGCTGCCAGACACCGGCCAATAACCCCCAGAGCGCAACTGTCTCGTCACGCGACCCGGTGACGAGAACGGGTTCGTGCGGCAGCCAGTCGCAGCTCCAAATGATGCGCTTGTGGGCCTTGACCTGCTTGTGCACAAGGGCATAGATCCCATTCGAGAGGGCAAAGACGCAGAGGCTGCGGTCCTTGGAGACGGACGCAAGGTACGTATCATCGCTCGAGAAGGCGAGCTGCACGACCGACGAGCTATGCCCTGGCAGCTGCTGCGCCGCCACGAGCGACGTGCTCGCCTCGTCTTTGCGCCAGAGCCAAATCGCCGCCGCCGACTCGTCCCGCGCCTTGCACGTCGACGCCAAGACGTCGCCGGTATGACTGCGACGCACGCAAAGCAGCTCGTTGCCGTGGCCGTAGAGCTTTTGCACCTCCGGCCAAAGCGACCGGCGCGCGAGCTGCTCGCCCACAATGGCCGTCTCGTCCGCCTCGCCACGCTTGTTGGTCAAACTGAGCTCGGGAAGAACGCCAAACCCGCGTCCTGTCGACGCCCCAGAAACGAGCGCGTGCATGCCGGACGGCACGTCAAAGACACGGAGGATCTTTTCGTCGGCGCCGCTCACAAACTGCGCGTCGCTCAAGAACGTTGCGCACTGGAGGTCGTAGCCGTGCACCTGCGCGCGCGACACCTCAGTGGTCGCGTCAAGCCGGTACGCGCGCGCGGTCTGGTCAAGCGAGACGGAGACAAAGAAAGCACCCGACGGCGCCCACGCCACGTCCGTGACCGGTCGGCTGTGCCCCGTGACGGACCGCGCTGGCACGTAGTGTGCGTCACTTTTGGTCCACCGGTAGAGCTCGCCCGTAAACGTAAGCCCAAGAAGGTCGGCACCGAACGACGCGCCCGCCAGGAGACCGAGGCCACTACGCATGCCGTATTTGAGCTAAGCTTGAAGGGAAAAGGTGGAGGAAGCTACCCGAGATCGCCGACGCGGGTCGTTGGATGCCACGCCGCGCCGTCGTCGGCGGCCCAGAGGAGGAGTCGGTTGTCCATAGAGCACGAGAGGAGCGAGTGGTTGGACGTCCAGCAAACGCTCGTCACCCAGTCGTCGTGGCCCACGAGCATCGCGTCGAACGTGACGTTCCTAATGCGATGCTAAGGCACCCATTCACAAAGGAATGGCGATCGTACAGCGCCGCGTCAATGCGCCAGAGGCGAATCTTGTGGTCTTGGGCGGCGGACGCCAGCAGGACGTCACCCGAGGCGAGCGGCGGTGAGAACGCGAGGTCCCGCACCCAGCCCTTGTGACCTACGCCAAGCGCCGATGAGATGCAGTTCGCCTCGGGTTAACGCGACCTGCGTGCGAGCTCACGAGCGACAGCGCTTGCAGCGTCAAGTCGACCGTGTAGACGTGAACAAGTGCATCGACGCCACCAAGCGCTAGCAGAAGAGTGCCGCGACCGTCTTGCATAAGGGCGATGGCTTCGGCAATGTGCCGCTCGCCCAGCGACAGTGTTGTCGTCGCTCGTGTTGCTGGATCGACAACGACAATATCGCCGTTGGAGATGGCCGCAAAGACGAGCAGCCGAGACGATGCCAGTGTCGTACAAGTCAGCGCCGAGACAGACGAGCCAGCACCGGCAACGACAACCTCGGACGTCCAGGCATTGGCCGCTCGCCGCCAAAGGCGCACCTCGCCGCTGGCGTCGCCAGAGACAATGCATGAGGCAGCGTCGCGCCAGTACACTAGAGCCATATGAGCAGATCAGTGGACGAAGGGCGGCGTACCGCACGCGACGCGCGCCTTGTGACCATGCAGCGTGTGGACGATGGCCGGGACCGTCGCTGCCGCGCTGCAATAGCGGGCGATCGCCACTGTGGTCGAGGCTGCGAACGCCACCTCGCAGCCGTCCTCGCAGGCGACGGCGCGGGACATGCAGTGGCTGCCATTGTTGCAGCCGACAGCCACGAACGCTTCGTGGAGCGCCGTCATCGTGGAGGTATCGATAGCTACGTCCAATCCAGCTATCCGGTAACGTGCATTTTATCCGTACAATGCGAGGTGCACTTTCTATCAAGATATCGAGCAGATTTGCCAAAGAGTTTTTCTTTAGTGTCAACAGCGTTTCTAGACCCTTGACGATGATGGCGTATTATGCTTCGAACGCGATTATGCGCTTCAAGGCGACGCAAGCAATGGCGTCTACGCGCCGCAGACGCTCGAGAAGCCGAGGTCGATGCCCTTCTGTACGTCGTGCTTGGCAGTTTGGTAGCCAATGTAGCCCATGCAGAGCGCCGAGAGACCGATCGTGAACGCGAGGATGTACACGAGGAGCGACGTCCGGTTGTACTTTTTCAGGAGGTACCCGACGCACTAGTTGTACACGAGGACTGTCCACACCGTCACTGACAAAAATCAAAAAATGTACCTTTTGGCCAAAGAGACCGCCGCCAAAGCCCACGAGAATGTACCAAAACACATAATCTACCACCAAATAGTACGATACAACGACCGATATCAATGCGACAAAGTACCGTATTGGAGCTGCCCGGGAAACATGCCCGCGATCGCAAACTGGAGCGTTGTCGCCGACGACGTAAAGAGAATCATAAACGACGCTGTCGACGTTTGCACGACCGGAAGGATCCCATTCTCGAGCATGACGGGTCCCTTGACCATGCCACCTACGCAGCGCAGCGCAATGTCTTACCGTAAAATCATATAGAAAGTACCGCCAATGCCAAGGAGACCGGCGGCAACGCCGGCGAAAAAGCAGTAGAGTGGAAACACCACTTGCGTCGTGCGCTTGGTCCAGTGGACATCGCCGTCCACGAACGGCGTGCCACTCACGACGACGAGACGGTTGCGAAGGCGGAGGTTGATCCCCATATGGCTAGGCAGACATTCTCGAAGTACTGCAGACGAGACGTAGTAGCGTACTAGGTAATGTACACGAGGACGAGGAGCGGCGCAAACGTTAGAACCCAGTACACAGATGAGCCGCAATGGATCCCCACTGTGCATGCCATAAGAACCAGAAAACGTAGAGGACGATAGAGGAGCCGTACCGAGGCTGGGCGCGCCGTGGCCGCCGAGGAAGAGCATCTGCACGAGCAGCACGACCCAGCACACGAGCAGCGGAAGCACGCAGCGCCACGGAAACACGATGCTTTCGATGCGCTCAATGTTGAGCTGCATCTCCTTGAGAAATGCCTTCTTGTCTATGCATCAGCGATTCATGAAATAAAAGGTGAGAGCCTTTGGGTGCGTCGTACTGGCAACGGGCAGGTCCAGCAGCGGCAAGCTCTGAAAGTCTTCTTCGTCCTGGGCCAAGAGTGCGCGGCGCTGCTTGTTGGTGCGGGTGAGGAGCAGCCATTTCTTCGCCGCGACCGCCGCCGTGATGCGCTGACACCCGCATGAGCTTGGCAATTTGGTAATGAGGACGATGTACCTGGCGCTTCTCGTGGTGCATGAGCGAGAGCGTGTCCTTTGGCGACTGAATCGAGTTGCCCGGCGTCGACGCTTTTGCCAGTTCAATTTGCTCTTTCGCAAAGAGCTACAGAGCCCATAAGATTATCGTGTCCGACGGTGCGACAGTGTACCTTGTTGCCCTTGAGCGTCGTCTTGTACGAGATGTACGAGAGGAGCGTGATGAGCAAGACGAGGATGAGCCACGGGGGGAACGTGCGGTTGGCCATGACGCCGAAAATTGTGCCAATCAGCGTCGGTGGCTCCATCATACCGGCCAGCGCATAGTCGATGACGGGTCGGTGGGCCTTGTCTATCGCAATATTTGACTTTCAAAATCCACAATCCGACAAATATCGAAGCGTACGCGGGTGCTTGCGTGGGTAGTTGACGAGAAACGTCGCGACGGCTGCGCCAAAGATCGTAGCTTTCGAGAGCGGAATCGCGTGCTTCGGGCCAAGGCCCACGACTAGGATGTACAGCGGCACGAGGAGCCCGCCGCCGCCGACGCCGCAGCCGGCGCCGAGCGCGGCCGCGAGAAACGCCATAAAGGTCGAGAACGCGTCGGCGCGCGTGAACGGCGCAAAGAGGTCCTTCTCAATGCAGTACGTGACTGGGTCGAGGCGGAACGCCGCCGAGTCCACATCCGTGGGCACGCGCACATAGCGCCCGCTCTGCACATGGCAGCGCTTGGAGCTGTCACGCAGCGTCGCGCCGCACTGCGCGTCCGTCTGGCAGTAGGCGCAGAGACTAGTAGAACCCAGTGAATACCAGCGCCGTCAAGGTGAACAATGTAGGAACGTACTGGTTGATACAGGCGAGGCCAGGCAAGAAGCCGCAGTCGTCGCGTTCACTGCATGAGGTACCGTACAAGGCGCTAGCCGACTGCACGGTCGTCGTGTTGGCATGCAGGCGCAAGCTCTGCGCGTGGGCGGTGGCGGCGGCAAGGCCAAGCGCGCAGAGAGACGTCCAGCGCAGCAGCATGTTCCGGTCCTCGACACAATGCGACGATGACGATGCCAACGAACTTTCCAAGCCCGTACCTGGCTGCTGATGTTCGCAACACGAACGTACGATGTACGATGTACGTCGTCCGGATAATAAATCCGGACTGATATATTGCACAAACACGAATATTGGCCCGCAGAGGGTTCGTCGATCATATATATTGAGCAAACTCGTATGAAACAAGCGGTGATCGCTGTGATAGCTACTCCCCTTTCTGCGGAGGGCCGGGGACGCTGCGTGGACGCTCCTGGATGCTGGTCACTTCAACTGCAACGGAGGTATTCGCTGTGTTTCAATTTCAGCCAATCCGCGTTGCGTATCAACGGCAGTGAGCCAATCACCGCCGCGGGTCTAGCATCTCTCGCGTACTCCGGGGTACACAATCCGTTGTAAAGGAGGTCTCGCGTTCGATCACGGGGCATACGGGGCACGGGACAGGCGCAATCAGTTGGCTCGCACACCGAGTGGCATTCCACCTTTTGACGCTGGCGATGCAGCTGGTGCTCATTGCCGCTGCGCTTCTCGGCGCTGCTGCCGCCACGACGTCGCCGAGCTCGCTCATTGTGCAGCCCGACGAGATGTTGGGTGCAACCTGCGGCTCTATCGCCGACTGCGGCTTCCTCCCGGGCCTCGCCTGCGTCGACTCGTACGACGCACACGTCGCCACGTCAAGCCTCATGCTCTCATGATGTAGGTTGTGCCACGTATGCAGCTCCGACCGGGACTGCACTGGCTCGGACAGCGACTTTAGCAAGCGCTGTGTGGTCGCGTCGACGGGCGCACTTGTCCGCCTCCCGAACGCAACCTTGCAGCCGCTCGCGTACTGCATGGAGAAGAACATGTTTGCCCCGTTTACGCTCGCCGACCTCATGGCGTCGCTCCTCGCCTTTCTCTGCACGGCGCTCGGGTCCGCGTCCGGCGCTGGCGGCGGCGGCCTCCTCGTGCCCATGTACATCTTGGCGGTCGGTCTCGGCCCCAAGCATGCGATTCCGCTCTCGAAAGCCACGATTTTTGGCGGCGCCCTCGCCACGTTCTTGTCCAACTTTCGCAAAAAGCACCCATGTACGGCGATTGGCTCAATGTGTCGCGTCGAGGTTGATGGTACTATGCGTAGACCATCCGCGCCGCCCGGTCATCGACTATGCGCTGGCAGGCATGATGGAGCCGCCGACGCTCATGGGCACGATCTTTGGCGTCATGGCGAACGCGACGTTCCCGTCCTGGCTCATTCTCTCGCTGCTTGTGACGCTCCTCTCGTTTATGGCCTACCGCACGCTGCAGAAAGTGCAGCACGTACGTTCTGCCACGTCATTTCGACTTGAATGTGAGTTGTGGACTGGTTTTAGGTCGAAGCCCAGGAAGGCCGCGCACGTGGCGAAACCAAGGTGCTCCTCCCGACATGCGATCAAGCCGATGCCGAGGTACACGTCGCATGCTGTTCTATTAATTGCTAAGACTATTAGCACCAAGCACGCACGCGCCAAGAAGACGAAGACGACTTTGCTTCATTGCCACCACTCGAGTTTCCGCCGCATGCTGGTATACACTGTTGTACACAAGAATCGGTGACTAAAGAGGAGATGCGTAGACAAGCAAGCGTCCTTGGATGCGATTCGCGACCAGCTCTACGACGACGAACGCTCGGTCTTTCCGCTTACCTATGTCCTTCCGCTCGTCGCCTGCTGGGTAACCCCGAAGGCTGGATTGATATCGTAAATCATTTTGTCGTAACCACTAGCTCATTATCTTTGTCCAATCGCTGTTTCGCGGCGGCCATGGCACGCCCAGTATCGGTAATCCGTCGCGATTGTATCTCGGGCTCTAAAGCTGTAACTCTCCTAGTCGGTGTGCCGTGTGGCTCGTCCATCTACTGGGCCCTCACCTTTGTGCCGCTCCTCTTGCTCGTTCTCATCACGTGGTATGTCGTGCATTTCTAGTGTTACAAGATTGCATCTGATGTAGGCTCATGGGCCACCGGCTTCGCACGCGCAACCGCCTCATGGTTGTGAGCGGCATCGAGTTTGCCCAAGGCGACGTGCACTGGACGTACAAGAAGGCGCAGCTCGTGTTTCCGTCCTACTGCTTTGTCGCGGGTATTGCGTCCGGTCTCCTCGGCATTGGCGGCGGCATGGTCCAGAGCCCCATCATGCTCGAGTACGGCCTCTTGCCCGTCGTCTCGTCCGCGTCCGCGTCCTACATGATTCTCTTCACGTCGTCCGCGACCACGCTGCAGTTTGCGGTCGCAGGGCAGTTTCCTGGACAGCGCCAATACGGTACATACGTGTGGTCTCTGGATCGTGATGCTCATCAGGTCTGTAGACTACATTTTGTGGTTTTCGCTCATGGGCTTTCTCGGCGGCATTTTTGGCCAAAAGGTATTTTGGAGCATATACACTGCGACTAACATGGCGATAGTGCGTCGGATACCTTTTGAAAAAGTACAACCGGACGTCGATCCTCGTGTACATCCTCGCGTTTGTCATTGGCGCGTCGGCCATTGCGATGGGCGTTGCCGGTTTTCAGAACGTTGTGCGCGACTTCTCCAAGGGCGTGCACCTCGGCTTCTCGGGCCTCTGTGCCGTCTAAGCACTTCACTGTAATGGTGTTGTCCCATTTATACTGTGCCCGAGTCCTATGGTCCTAGGCTTGACAAAAGACTGCATCATTTCGAATAAGACTTATATAACCCTGACCAAAGACCCCTGACACTGGTCCTGTAGTCCTGGGAACGATGTGTTGGTATTCCTCAGTTCGATATCGTCAGTGTTGATGCAACGGCATTGGTTGTCATTGTTGCGATGGCCATGCCGGCCTCTCCGCGTGCCACGTCAGCTTCTCGTCTTCGAAGCAGATGCCTGACCTGGCAAATACCTCTCATATGTGATATAGTGATGACGATCTGGGTTGCTTGGACCTGCTGCAATCGATATTCTTGCACAATGGCACTGCGTGTTGACGCGTAAGCTTGGCCATGATGACGATGCTGGCTTGCTGGCGCCGGCTACGGATGCCCCAGTGGCTCGGCGGACCCACGCCCCGCACGGCACTGCGTCTGGTCCTCTTCGTGCTCGCGTCCGCCGTCTACTGGCTCTTTCTCATCTCGGCAGCCATCGTGCTTGGGCTTCGCGTGGCCTATATCTATGCGACGCATCTCAAGCTCCGCTGCCACGACCCCGCGCTGTCGGCCCGCACGCTCGCCCAGGCCACGCTTGTCATGCTACACAAATTCGACACGGTCGTGCTTGGTATCTACGACCCCTCCGTGCCAAACGGCCTCGTGTGTCCGTCCTCGGCCGACGACATTGTTGAGATGACGCCGTTCGCCGCGTACATTGCGCTCTGGAAGGGCATCGTGGGTCTTCTCTGCTTCCAGCTGCCGCTTTCGCTCTGGCTCATCGCCATCAAGTGCGTCAAGCGCTTCTTTGACCGCGACTACTACGCGTTCGAGTTCTACCCCGAGTGCTCGTTGGAGACGCGGCCGTTCGTCCTCCTCCATGCGTGCGCGTACGTTGGCTTTGGCCTTCTCGTCGGGCACGCGCTCTCGAGCCTCCTTCTGCAAAGCGCCTTGCACTGGAACCGAGTCATCTATCCGACGCCGTCGTACACGCCCGTTGACGAAAAGGCGTCGCTCTTGTCCACGACGACGTCGGTCGCCAGCGAGCGTCCTCCGCCATACGAGATGCCAGCAAGAACGCGTAGCGAGGACGATGCGAGTCGCCTTGATGGCTACTTGGAGCTCTGGCAAGCCGTGCTCGAGAGCATCCGGGTTTTCGAAGCTGGCCACGCCACGCTTCTAGCGTGCCTGGAGGACACGACGCGGCTCGCATGCAGCACCCTCCGCGCGTCGCCAGCGCAGTGGGCAAGGTTTCATGGCTTGGCCCAGCGACAAGCGCGCCTGCAACCGACGCCGCCGCCGGTGGCCATCGAAGAAGCGCTCGAGGACGACGACTCGGTCGTCGACACCTCCCCAATTGCATTGGAAAAGCCGACCCCCGTGCTATTCACGCGCGCCATGCACACCGGGAGTGACCGCGACTATGATGTATTTTACACCGACACCGACGCTGAGAGCACGGCAACCACGAGCGTCTACCGGGACATTCCGGATCCCACTGGTTGGGTCTCACCCACTGCGTACACTGCCACACGAGTCCTGACATACGACGAGCCCGAGCGAAGAGACTCCGTCATTGTCTCTCGGGGGCTCGTCTCCCGCAGCGTCCACCAAGCGCTACAGACGACGACACTGACCGACCGCGTGCACTTTGCAGCGTATGCGCCGGCTTGCGTGTCGCCCGCGTCGACGTTTTCGCATGCGATTTACGCCTTCCTCGTGCACCAGCGCGACGAGATGCGCGAGGAAGCGATGGCGGACGGCGTCGCCAAGCAGCTCTCGCGGGACCTCTTGCTGCATGTGCGGCGCGGCGCGTTCGTGACCATCTCGCTGCAACTGCCAGACGGGTTCCGACATGCCGGTGAGGCGTCGCAGCTGCTGTCGTGGACAGGCGACGTGACGCACGTGGCGTTCGAGGTCGAGTGTTGTGCTGTCTGCGCCGAGGGCCAAGTGCTTTTTGAAGCGACGATCGTCGTGGGCACGTCCGTGCTCGTGCTGCGCTCGTACCTCTTTGTGTCCTCGTCCCTGCGCCAGGATGCGCACGTGCAAGAGCTCGTGAGCGAACTGGAGGTCGTGCCCGAGACCTTTCACGAGATCGCGTACAGCGACCTGGCGCTCAAAGAGGCGGTCGGCCGCGGCCACTTTGGCGACGCCCACCGCGCCACGTACCTCGGCCAAGACGTTTGTTGTTCTCCACGTCGCCTTGGAGCTGAAGGATGTGTAGGTGGTCGTCAAGACGCTTCGGCCAAACGAGTTTGGTGACAATGCCGACCAGATTGTGGCAGCGTTCCGGCACGAGGCCGCGGTACTCTCGCTCTTTGGGCGGCATCCCAACATTGTGCCGTTCGTGGGCGCGTGCACGGACCTCTCGCAGCCACTGAGTCTCGTGACCGAGTACCTTCCGTTCGGGAGCCTCGAAGACCAGTTTGGCGCGCGCCGCCCGCCGCTCTCGACTGATCAAAAGACGCGCATCTTGTGTGACGCCGCGTCCGGCTTTCTCAACATTCACGAAGGCGGCTTCATCCACCGCGACATTGCGGCGCGGTACGCATGCATAGATGCCAACGCGGCGCTGATTCTGTTTGTAGCAACTGTTTGGTCGACGACCAGTTGCGGGCGCGGGTGTGCGACTTTGGTTTGTGCCGACGCGTGCACTCGTACGGCGGCGGCCACTTTGCCGAAGGCGCAATGCCGCTCAAGTACCTCGCGCCCGAGTCGCTCACGCCGCCCCACTCGTTTTCGTACCGGTCCGACTCGTACTCGTTTGGCGTCCTCATCTGGGAGACGTTCACCGAGTCCAAGCCGTTTCCGACACTGACGAGCGCAGAGGCCGCTGCTTATGTTCTCGAGGGCCACCGTTTAGAGCTTGGCGAGAGTATTCCAACACGGTACCAGTCGCTCATTGCGCGCTGCCTCCAAGACGATCCGGCCAAGCGACCGTCCATGGCCACCATCGTGCAAGAGCTCACTTCCGCGATGGCTCGGAAATGATTCTTCGCCGCTTGTAAATTATTCAATCATTGCAAAATGTGTCGTCGTTGCAGTGCTGTCGTTGCGATGATTCGTGAAATTGGCATGTGATTGATTGACAGTGCGACAGCAGTCTATGTTTAATAATAAGTTAAAAAGCGCTTTTTTATGTGGTGTTAACGATTCCGCACGTTGCACGACTGCAACGGCGACACGGCGTGGGCTGCTCTGCTCTCCAAAGTGGCTTCTATCAATGTGCCAAATATGAGCGATTCCATTTCAAACTCGATTTCGTCGACCGAATGGCACCCGCGTCCTGGTGCAGTGCCTACAAAGTGGCACTAGGATCTTATTTATGGCGTTTTGCCACAAATAGATCTAAGACCGCACTACCAGCATGTGCCTCCAACGTCGACGCTACTGTCTCTGATTGTACAACGTTTGTTTGCAGCCCGTGCGATGGCGGCAAGTAGCATTTGGGTTGGGTTCTCGGTCGACGGAGCGACGTCTCCATCACTGTGATGCAATACTTTGTGGCTCGGAAATGACGTGCGCGTCTTGGCACAAAAGTCTTGTAAATTGTTCCGATAGTAAAACCTGCAAACAGCTTAGGTCGTACGAAGGTATGACGCTAGGACTCGATTGGCTTGAGAATCGAGCCCTCGGAGTGGAGCCCGAGACAAGGCGAACGCAGTAGATGACCAGTATGTTGTTGTGTTCGTAGTAAATAATAGGTCATCCATCGCATCCGCTATTGGTTATGCGCTCTTCGTTGACTTCGTTTGAACGGGCCTGTTTTACATGTGCCGGTCGGTAGTCCCTCAACCATAAGTATAGAACGCCGATGCAGGGCTCACAACGACTGTGACAGATAGTGAGTGTTTTCGCGGCTTGTGAAGTCCCGCAGGATTTCTGCTTTGACAAATTCGGTGCAACATTGAAATATTGTACTATATAGGCTATTGCACAACGCAGTTACCCATCTCTGTGTGGCCAAAATCCGGCGTCATGCGAAGACGCGTCTCCACACGGTGCTCGTCCTGTGGGCGATTTGCTTTGAGGAAGGTTAGGACGGCCGGGTGCTTCTTTGCCTTCTTGAACGCAACGCGCGAGCAGCCTTCGCTGCGATGCACGTGCAGGAACTGAACAATCTCAAGGTCGCCGTTGGCCGCCGCCGCGTCCATCGCGAGCTGCGAGCAAATGCCAATGGCCGGTCTTGCGTGGAGCCGCTTCACGAGCGGCAAGTTGCGCGCGCGGACCGCATTGTCGATCGTGTTGCGGGTCAGGATCGAGATGCTTTTTGGAATTTGGATATCGTCGTCGTCTGGGAAGGTGTCGAGAAAGGTGTGCGCGAGGTCGCAGTAATTGTCCTCGAGAAGGCGGCAGAGGAGGTACCCGCGCATGCGCAGTGGATCTTGCATTTGCTTGAGCGCGGGGTGGGCTTGGTATTGCATTTGGTCGAGCTTGGCGTAGTAGAGCTGGAACATGTGCTGGAGTGAGCACGGCACGCCGTATTGGTATGCGAGTATGAGCTCACGCAAATCGGGCTGCGTCAGGACGTCTCGGGCAGGAGATGTTTGCTGCGGCGTGCTCATTTGAGTGCTTCAAGTCTCTTTTACAAATACCAACCCACCTACCGGTAGTTCTGACCATTTGTTTTGTTATTTTGCATCATGGACAGTCATGTCGCACTGTCCAACAGCTCGTCCAACGTTTGCAACACGCCCACAATCTTGTCTTCTTTGCCCTCGGTGTTTTCTTTGTGGCACAGTGCACGCCACCTGCACCGGACCAGCCAAATGCGCCCCAATACAGTGCACGCCACCTGTACCCTACCAGGTAAATGGGGTCCAAAACTTTTGTATCCCAGCTGTGAAAACATAATTTTTTAGGAAAAGGACGTTATAGATCGACTGTTCAATCCAAGGGGAAGCGATGTATAAGATCGGATTGCAATAAATCGAAAAACTGAGCAAGTTATCGGCGTTCAAAATTGGGGCTCTACAACACTACGAGGTATGGCGCGGGAGCCAAATTGCTACGAAACAGGACCATCGCTCCATTGTTTTTCATGACTTTTACTATTTTATTAATTTTATTACACCATTTTATCTATTTTATTAAAATTACTATCCGGCTTATGCTAGTTTTAGTATGTGAAGGATCCGGATAAGGCCCAAGCCGAAATTGTTACAAAAAGGCGATTTGGTAGGCTACAGATGGCGTGCACTGTAGGGCCCCGAAACTTTTCTCATCCAGCTATAAATAGACCATTTGCTAGGAAATGAACATTATAAATCGACTGTTCATAACCAATAGCGGAGGCGATGGATGACCTATTTATTACCTTACTACGAACACAACAACATACTGGTCATCTACTGCGTTCGCCTTGTCTCGGGCTCCACTCCGAGGGCTCGATTCTCAAGCCAATCGAGTCCTAGCGTCATACCTTCGTACGACCTAAGGTTTGCAGGTTTTACTACCGGAACAATTTACAAGACTTTTGTGCCAAGAGGCATTTCCGAGCCACGAAAGTGTTGCATCACAGCGATGGAGACGTCGCTCCGTCTCGACCGAGAACCCAACCCAAATGCTACTTGCCGCCATCGCTCGAGCTGCAAACAAACGTTGTACAATCAGAGACAATAGCGTCGACGTTGGAGGCGCGCTGGTATTGTGGTCTAAGATCTATTTGTGGCAAAACGCCATAAATAAGATCGTAGTGCCACTTTGTAGGCGCTGCACCAGGACGCGGGTGCCATTCGGTCGACAAAATCGAGTTTGAAACGGAATCGCTCATAGTTGGCACATTGATAAAAGCCACTTTGAAGAGCAGAGCAGCCCATGCCGTGTCGCCGTTGCAGTCGTGCAACATGCGGAATCGTTAACACCACATAAAAAGCGCTTTTTAACTTTTTATTAAACGTAGACTGCTGTCGCACTGTCAATCAATCACATGCCAATTTCACGAATCTCGCAACGACAGCACTGCAACGACGACACATTTTGCAATGATTGAATAATTTACAAGCGGCGAAGAATCATTTCCGAGCCATCGCGGAAGTGAGC